TACCTAATTAATATATTCATTTTATATTTATTGTCTTCCAAATGGATTGTATAATTTGTATTATTATCATATTATTATAAATGTTACATGTGGCTGACCTAAAATGTTATCGTGCCATCTTTAAATGAATCCATCGATAGATACATTTTCGCCACCGCAAACATGAGTTCTTCTTCATATACGGATAAATTCGTGTGCCACCTGTCTAGAGAAGCTGAACTAATTTTCACATTGTTTCAACAAGTCACCTACCTACCTAGCTTTAAATTATTTAAATTCAGTATAAATTTCGAATTAGGTAATTTTTAATTTTCGCGTTGTTTACACATATTTTAAATATACAATCGGGACTTACCGCGATAAAAAAAAAACCTTTGTTGGTAAATAGCACCTACATACTTGCTTCTTTATTTCCGACGTGGCGATGTGATTGCACCACGTCGTGATCACGACAGGACAATATATAAAATTTTTAATAATTAAAAATTATGAAAAAAAAAACTTTTTGTACGTGAATATATAAATTGAAAAAATCTAAGCAAAATTAAAATATCACCCATACGCCATCTTGTTCATAAACGTCTTGTGAGTCGTAGCGTAGTATAGAAGTACGTGTAAAGCCAAACTTAGCAACTCTTGTGGTTTAACGTAAGTTTTCAATCATCAATCATCATCATCATCATTTTATCTGTCCACTGATGTACATAAGCCTCCCCCTAAGGTGGTTTTGCCAGTAGTTTGCCACACTTGGCAGGGGATTGGCAATTGCAGTTTTTTTTATTTTTTTTTAATGAGTGAAAATGGCATGGTACCCCAGCCTACGCTATCGGTATACACTGGCGGAGTACCAGTGAGAGGTGATAGGTGAGGATGAAAAGGCAGGTCAGTTAGTCCCTCGTGACAAATTCAACGATAAATTAGTCACGATAGTTTCCAGGGGGAACCGCGTGGAGGTCGACCTGATAAGGTATATTGATAGCAATGGGGACTAACCTCCCCGTTACTAACAATCCCTTCCCCCTGGCAACCGCAGTTAGGATATGGAGATGTTTTACAATCAATATGTAACTAAATACTCTAATAGTAGGAGGAAAAGGATTGTTAGCAATGGAGTTTGACAGCCCCATTGCTAGCAATATACCTTCTTAGGTCGACCTCCACGTGGTTCCGCCTGGAAACCATCGTGAACAATTCTTGTTGAATTCGTCACGATGGGCTAACTGACCTGCTTCATCCTCACCTATCATTCTTCACTGGTGCCTCGCCAGTGTATACCGATAGCGCGGGTGGGGTTACTATTCCATATCATTCATTAAAAAAAAACTCTAATAGTTGCAATAATATTTCGAAAGTGCATTAGTTTAAATTTATTAGTCACTTCGCCAACGCTGCATAATAGTAATTTGTAATCAAAACGAACTATAAGTAATTTACAAATAAAAAAATAAAAAAACTAGAACCCGAAACCTTTAATATGAAATAACGTAGCCAACTACTGGTGTTTTTAACAGTACTGAACATATCACAGCGCCATCTAGTTCCAATCTAAGCAAAGCTTATAATATGCATACTAGACAAGTGTTAGTCATAGTTACGCTTTTTGTGAATATCACACAATAACTTATAATCTTATTGCTCTCAGCAATAAGACCGCCTTACTGCACTTGTACAATTGTATCGTTGTGTTTGTAAATTGTCTTGTTCATTACCTATATTGTATAATGCAAATAAAGCATACTCATTCATTCATACAATAATATAGGCAACATTTACAAATAAAAACATGCATACTCATGAAGATAAACGTTTTTATTGCACGGGAATCGAACCCGCGACCATTAGATGATTAAACATTGTGTAAAAATAAATATACCACCAATATTGTCGAAAATATACCAAAGTATAATAAATAAATTAATTATAAATAAAAAAATATATAATATTAGTGTTTCATAAGTACCTGATATATACTATAACAGCATAATAGAAACTTTTTTTTTTATATTATTCTAAGGGCTTTTACCTTCTTCAGGTATATCAGTCCTATTGTACCCTGAACTGATTTCTCAAACAAAACTTTATTTACCTTCCCTAGACGCGGAAAGAGAAGAATTAATGGGTATCAATAATTTACAGAGATGTTCAAAAATTTCTGGTTTAAGTTCAGCTAACATAGATTGAATAAGACCAACATTAAATTTATTTAAGGCATAATAGAAACTTGAAACTTATGAATTAGTATTTCATTAAATATATGTTAGTAAATTTAGAATAGACATATACCTTCTACCTGCCTATAGGTATTTATGTAAACTAAATTAGATGACTTACTACAATGTTAGCAGTTAATGTTTCTAAGATGTATTTAAATGGGTGGAAATGGAATGATAAACCTACCTTAGGCGAGGTTAGTTGGTCTATCACTAGGAATGAACCATGACGGTTTACAGGCCAAAGGGGCCGCGTGAAGGTCAATCTAATAGGTTTTTTTTTATTAGTGAAAATGGTATGGCAACCCCGCCTGCGCTAACGGGATACGCTAGCGGAGCACCAGTGAAGGGTGATAGGTGAGAATGAAAACAGGCCAGTTAGTCCATCATGATGAATTCATCAGGAATTAACGATGATAGTTTCCAGGGAGAACCGCGAGGAGGCCGACCTGGTTGGGTATATTGCTAATAATGGGATTCTCACTCTCCATTACTAACAATCCCTTTCCCCTCAATCTAATAGGGTATATTGCTAGCAATGAGGCAAGTAGTTCCTATTACTAAGAATTCTCTCCTCTTTGACCGGTAAAAGAAAACAGTGTCATTCAGCTTAAAAAAAAGCTCATAACGGAAATATGCACATATCAACTACACCCACAGATAGTTTAAATATATACCTATGTATTGCTATAATTTGATATTTTAATATGTTATTTTGTTAATAAATACTTACCTACTAGTTATAGCCCTTGTTTTGTGTCATAACTATGTATAAGACGCTATTGTGGGCTTTTATAATATACAGTATCATCGCAAAATATAGGTCCATAGAGAGAATAACTTTAACTCAACTATACTCTTCACGATATAGTATGATGCGTATGACACAGATAACACCGTAGAAAAATGTATACCGTTATTATAAAGCAAATGGAAAACAATCATCTCTATTTATATCTTTTTTTTTTTTTGTAGTTTACTAGACGCGGGGTAAATAAATCAGGGGCTTAGTAGCTTCCAGTTTTGTCCAAAAAAGTCTACATGTTGAACACCAAAATAGAGAGAAATTAAATAGAGTAAACTAAGTATTTAGTAGAAATAATTGATACATAGTTTAATTTGTACGTGCTTAGTCTTATTATTTTAAAACCACATATTTTTCATTATAGTTCAACTACCAATATTTATACTATAAATTCTGTTTCAGTCTTTGAGACTTAGATCGTCATAGTCGTAGAATACTGACGGATCTGACGAATATTACATATAAAGATCAGTCAGTATTCTACGACTATGACGAGATGTTAAAATGTAAACAATATCGAAATTAATATGTGTTTATTTTCCTATACTTTTTGTAACGACTGTCGTGTGTTTCCCAAATATTCTACTTTGGTAAGTTCATATACATTGCCAATAATTTATTTATTTATCTATTAATTAATTTACATATATTCTACTATTTATTTTTATTGTTTACTTAATTTATTATCTACAAAAGAGATTGAAAGATTGATATATTCTATGCGTTAAAAAGTTGTAACATAGTGCGGGGTGACAGTAAATATTTGGGTAGACTTAAAACAGTTGTTTCGCGTTGAGCATTTTTGAGTTAAAATCGACTTATAATTTGTTTAAATACAATTTAATGAGAACGTACACGATCGAGTGTTTTGTAGAATTCGTAATTAATGCTGTAGTAATTCCTTTTTGTGTAGTTTTATTGATCTGTCACCTGTATTGTGCTACAACGCGCAGACTGTAGTCACAAGTCTTACTATTATAATACCTATCTTAATCGATGTCTATAATACTCTTAGAACAATTTCAGCTACTTTATCGTTGTCTAGTCATTTTATGTGTACTATTTGTGCTAGTTGTGAATTAAACAGTTCCGGAAACTATTTGTTGTGTTTTTTATACCTACCTATTACCAGGAAGTCAGCCATTATTATCTCCGACCATATTCTACGAAGATCATCAGATAACAAGCAGCTTGGATACAATTTCTACTTACCTATTTATCTACAATTCTTATTACCAAGTTTACTCATTATTAACTTTATTACTAGTAATCCATGAGTTTAAACGCGTTGAGATAAAACGGGTATTAAATTACATTCAAATCGATGGAATATTTTTGTATAACATCTTTCGAATATTATATTTGTAGAATTAATACCTATATTTCATTTTATTATTACTGAATCAACAGTTTATATTTGAAATAATTAAAATTTTATTACTTAATGAGTGATGTGATCTAAGAAACAAATATATTTCATATCAATGATTTTATAATTATGTACATAATAATATAATTTATTTAATTTAATAAAATAAATTACTACAAATACCTATATTGATTTACTATTTGGGGCAATTACACACATACAAAGCGGACATTTTTAAATGTAAACTTATTACTGGTTAGTAGGTAACGATGTACCTACAAGAAAGTAGTTTTTTTTTTCAATGGATGATATTGTATTGGTAACCCCGTCTGCGCTAACGGTATACGCTGGCGAGGCACCAGTGAGGAGTGATAAGTGATGATGAAATTCAGCACAATGATTTCCAGGGGGGACCACGTGGAGGTCGACCTGATAAGGTATATTGCTAGCAATGTGACTGATAGTCCGCATCACTAACTATCCCTTCCCCCAACAAGAAAGTAATTAGGTATGGGCTTCTATTTTTGATGACTAAAGCTCTCATATTCCCATAGTCAAAACTGAGTTGATTATTTTTAATATTAATTAGTTTAGAAAGAAGAAAAACAAATTTTTACTTTATAAATAATATAATTCGATAATTTTTGCGTAACAATAAATTTCACATAGAACTTATAGTATTCCAAATTTAAAAATTTAAATGTTAGGCACAGAAATGTAATTTTCAATAAAATATGCAATATTTATAACTATGATGCTTTAATGATGTAGCATAGTAATAAAAAAATATATAAGTACCTAATAACTATATAAATTCTATAAATAAATTTGGCACAATAGTATAATTATTATGACTAATTTTCTAACATAATCACTGGGGTCAATTCTCTGTACTCTACACTTATGAGTGTTCACAATGAAGTAGGTATTGTCACAATTATCTGTCAGCTTTTAAAAACAATTTTACAACAATATTCTTGTTAAGCGATCACTGTGAATTTGGAATTTGATAGCAAAAATGTTAATGTAAAATTCCAAAATAAGTAAGAAAAAGCAGAAAATGTCGATTAACACATCGCGATTTCTAAAACATTTAAACATTTTTTCAATATTGGTGGCACAATTGGACGGACAATTTAAAACGTCAAATTATAGGTATATATACCTATATTTTAAAAGTTGTGTTAATCGACTTCTGTGTTGACTGTACCCTGTACCTATAACACGAGTCGGGTGGTTGGATAGTATTTTTTTGTTTCAAGTTTTCCTTCAAGTGCAATAGGGTATAAATTCGAACGAGATAATATCGCCTCTACAAGAGCCTTTGGTATTGCCATACCTCAAATAAATCACTATAAACCTAACATCTTTGTCTCACGGGGGGAAAGGGATTGTTAGTAATGCAGACTAAGAATCCCATTGCTAGCAATATATCCAACCAGGTTGAGCTCCTCGCGGTTCCCCCTGGAAACTATCATGGTTAATTCCTAATGAGTTCATCATGATGGGCTAACTGAGCTGTTTTCATTCTCATCTATCACCCTTCACTGGTGCTCCGCCAACGTATCCGGTTAGCGCAGATGGGGTTACCATTGCATTTCCACCCATCAAAAAGAAAAAAAATCTTTGTCTCATAAGACTATAGCGAATGCAGAAACTAATGGGGGTGTTAGCTATTTATTTATAATTTATAGTAACAGCATTGAGCTAAAGGGGGCAGCAGTCTAGAAAAATGTTCAGTAATCTATGCACTTAAGAAGCCATTATGTGTACTTCTATTTCGCTCTTATGGCATACTGGAAATAAATGGAATTAATAATTATCAATACTCTATGACCACTAGTACTCATGTACTCATTTTAGCACCATTATATGTCTAGTAAGATTCAGTGATATCCTATCATTTGCTTATATTATAAACAGTTGTTATACTATAAATATATCTTTGTAGCTTATTTCAGACGATTCATACTTCATTTTTTAATTTTAAATTATAAACACAGAAATGTTCGTAAATTTTCATATCTATTTAAATATGAATAATAATATTTTATTTATTCATATATGGATTGTATCAAATAAAAAAAAAAACATAAGTAATATAATTAGTAAAATAATAGTAACTTATTTACACTGTAACATTACATTATTAACATTGATAATTAATACTTAATTAATAATACTCTGGAACATTATTTTTAGTACTTAGCTTCATAACATTTTTATTAAATTACTACCTGCTTGTCTGTACATAATACAAAAATGAAGCATTTCCCATAAAAATATTTTATTTTTAATGTCATGCATATATTTATGTTGATAATATATACATTAAATATTAATACACATGAAAAATATAAATAGTAAAAATTTGAGAGCATTTAATTATAAAAACAAACATTGAGATCGATTCTGAGCTATCATTTCTCTAAACCTTTCTCCAAAATTAAAAATTCAATTTGATACCACAGTGAAATCTTTATGAACAGGACCAATCTAAACTATATTTCTAATAGATTTAAATTAAAATTTAGTAAAATTTAAATTTAGTTTATAATTGGTTCATAAAACTAATTTTGCGAAACAATCAAATTAAAATATTAGGTCAAGATATAAGTTTAGAAAAATAGCACCACAGAATTGAGTCAAAAATAATAGTATTATAACATATATTATATATGTTACATAAATAAATAAATAATGATTTATACAAGGGGTGGCCGATCGTGATTCACACTAATATAAATAAATACGTTACTAAAAATAAATTTCAGTTTTATGTTTTCTCTCTTAATAAAATAAAAAATACTACAATATGTACTACATAATTGTGTATTGAAGTATGTTGATTCATTTCATATTTCAAAAAGTATGTAATTGGTAGATTGCACAGGGTTTCATCAGTAAATAGTAGATCTTGGATTTAGTTAAGTCGGCCACCTCTGATTTATACTGTTTCAATTGTAACTGTGTTAACAAAATTTATAACTTTGTAACTTTTTTATTGCATATATATAAAAACAGATTGTGTAATTATGCAAATTTGAGAACTATTTGTAGTTCAACATAAATGTAATTTGACTATGTATTGATTGAATCAGGCTGTATGTTGTCTTAAAAATAAATAAATAAAATTTAATGAATTATAAATATAACAGTTACTACAAACTGTTTGCTATGAATGCATTCATGAGGTATATTGAATAAAGTATTTGATTTATAATTATTGTCATAATTTTTTTATAATAGATTTATAATAATTAAGTAGCATTAATATGAGGCCACAACAAGGTAAATATTTGTACAAAATTTTTTGAGACAAAGAGTAAGATATTCTAAATGGAATGATAAAAAAAGTTAATCATCACAAGATGAAAATATATTACAGCAGTCTCCACAGGCATCACAACAATCCCCATCACAATCACAACAATCCCCATCACAATCACAACAATCACCATTACAATCACAACAATCCCCTTCGCAACAATTGCAATCACAACAACCTTCATTACTCTGTCCAATATCAGCATTCTCTTTGTCCCCTTCACAACAACGGCTTAAACAATTTGCCCAATCCTGAAAACATTGATTGTGGCAGTTGTTGAACCATATGCAACAATCAGATAACCAACGAAGACAAAAGTATGTATCCTGATCATCAGGAATAATTAGGCAACACTCTGTCAATGGATCTTCATCATCCCATGTGCCTTGTCTCCTCCTTTCTTCTTCTTGCCTTTTTCTTTCTTCCTCCTGCTCCCTTTCTTGTTGCAGTAAAGATTCTGGATCATCCATATCAAACCCAGTGCTGACTGGTTGAGAAGTGATGACTGATTCAGATGGATCAGAGGGTTGAGCAGTAATCACAGATTTATTAGCTTGCATTTTTAAAAATAGATAAGTATTTCAATATACGTTGCAGAAGATAGAATTGAATTTAAAGTTTTTGTACCTAATTTCTGTAGAAGACTGTATTGTAGATAGAATTTAAAGTATGTAGGTAAAGAGTACCCGCTGACCATAGTAAGTATTTATTTATTTATTTATTTATTTGGGCACGATTAGTGGGTACCCTTTACCTACATACTCTTACAAACTGTTCCAATTTCAAATTATAAAGTCTCAATGCGGAAGCATGATTAATTAATTACGTAGGTTAGGTATTTGCACTGCAAAGTAAAAAAAATTTATGAATTTTTTAGCACTGGTTTATTTTTTAATAACTACAGTTTAGCTTCGATGTAAAAACATGAAAATAATTACTTGATTATTATATGACTGTTCACAATCACTCGAGTAAAGTTAAAACTATAATTTGTCTTTGAGATAATAAACTTATATTCTACTAGTTCTGTTCTTATCAGTTCACAGTTTTTATTATCTTGATAAAAATTTAAAAAACATTCTAATTGGTTAACTAATAAATGTATACAAAATAATCACACTGAAGTCTTATTTCTTTTGAAAAGTAAAAAAAATAAACAATACACTATATTGAATGAATATTAATGCATTGAAAAAAAATAAAAATAGTAGATTTAGTAGGTATAGTAGAAAATTAACGAAGTGATAACGATAGTAGAAAATTGAAAGTTGCAAGGGTTGCCATGGATATATAATTTACATTAAGGATAATTTAATACTATTTCAACATAGAGTTACGCATAAGCAGTACGTAATTTGTAGTTATATTTTTAAAATAATCAAAATATTTTATTATAACAGCTGACTCGGCAAATTTCTTTTTAACCGGTGTCACCACGAACTGAGTTATTTTTAATAAAATTAAAAACTATTTCCTGCTTCAAGCTAAATTTAGATTATTTTTTAATATACATTATTAACAAAAAATCATTGGAGTCTGTTAAACAACGAGATATTGACGTAAACGAGCATCGTGACATGGAATTTTTATATATTAAGACTAAACTTACCTATATCAACTTACAAACTAATATACAAAATGAATATGTTATAACTAAATAGTAATTTTATATTTATATTATATATACATTTAGACATTTATGGATGACCTTATTGATAAGATTCGGCTATACCAGTGACTCACTAAGTACCTACCTACATAAGAACCATAAAACCAAGTAGAGAATACTTTATTATTATTTTATATTATATTATTTTGATTTATCTGAGATTATCATATTATATTCTATTCATTTTGAGTTCAATTTAAATCAAAGAAGGCTTATAAGTTTTTAATTTTAAATTTAACAACTTCATAAAAGGAGGAAATAGGTGTTACACGACAAAAATACGAGTGAAATAGAATCCAGTAAAATGAACATAAAAGTATAGGTATTATGAAAGTACGCGTAATGTACCTATTATTTTGACTGTATGGTCAGTTGCATTCTCATAATGCATGCTGCTAAATATTTTTGTACTTGTGAAAATCTATAATTGTCTCTATTAAGATAGCATTTAAGGTAAATTAGATTATTATATAAGTAAATAACTACTATTACTTAGCCGATACAACTTGTAAAAAGACTACACCATTCTAAAAAACATGAACAACAATCTAAACAATTATTACAACATTCACCATCGCAACACACATGCACAATATCACAGAGTCCCATATCGCTGCACTCGGCTTGACAGTTTTCAACACCAAAACAGCACGAATTACATTCTGTACTTGAATGAATTCCAGGATTATTATTTCTAAGACAATTTTGGAAGCAAAAATTGTAACAATCGCTGAACCACGAGCAGCAATCGGCAAACAAACGTAAATATCCATGGCAGGGGTTACTGTGGTTAGGTTCAACTTGTTCGGATATCTCTAGTAAGTTTTTATCATGTGGCCTTTTTTCTTCTCGAATCAGACTTTCTTCCTCAAATTTTAATTCTTTCTGATTTAAACCATCACTCAGCAGTTGGGATGTTATAACAGATTGTGAAGTAGCAGTTGTTTCATCATAAAAGAAAGATAGATCTGTTTCCATATTGATTTTTCTTTTAAATAGTTACTCCAATAGTACCAAGTGATCGAAATATAAAATCAAGTTTCAACTTGTTTCGTGTTTACTGGAGTTCACTTAAAATATTACAGTTGGTACAGTTATTATAAAAATAAATAAATAAATAAATGAATAAAAGTGAAAATATCTATCTACAACTAATAATTTTTCATACACGTACTAGAAACTATTTGAGTTTCTTTCACATATTACGGATAAAACTAAATACAATAGCAGAAACTGTTCCGGAATCTGATATTTACGTAAATGCTTACTTTCTTATCATACTTCTTAGTCAGGAAGTGTTAATTTTAATATATTAAAAATCACCATCAGCCTAACTTTGATAGATCGAATATTGTATTTTAAATTATAAAGAAAGTTTCAGTAATCACTTCATTAAATCACATTTCACGTTTCGTATTGTCACGATTATACAGTATACATATGTCAACCATACGAACATACATGATTCATACCATTCTACCAGAATACGTACGTAATTTAGCATAGTGTCGCCAACTCATTATCAGATTTTTTGCTAATCCGAATTCGTAAATAGGTATTCTAAAAAATGCGAAGATTTTATGATGGTTACCTATACTTTAATTATCAAAATAAATATAAAAGATTTATGAAAATATTTTTAATTACATAGGGACAAAACCATAAAAGACATTGGTCATAAGAAAAAATATTACTCGGGTTTATTAAATAAATAACCTTTGTAAATAAACATTCCTTTCATTTCCATAAATAATGATAAAATAAATTATGAAACAGGGGTTCACTGGTGCAAAATGTACAAAGCTAATACAGAAAGTTGTTAAATTGGCAATATTGATTCGAACTTTGCATTTTTGCAACGAATAAGACCGCAACATGATGTAAATTTGAAAATATTATTTCTATATTACCATTTCTAGACTATAAAATAGTATAGGAGAAAATAAGGAATAGTAATAGAATAGTGTTTTTTCTCCTTTAATTGTACAATGATATATTATTTAACAAAAATACAAGTGTGGCAAAAGCTCCACTGACAAGATCGCAGCTCTTAAATAGGATAGATAGACAAAGTGTAACTTCACATCACAAGGTACAAACTTTGTGTACCTATTAAGACACTACATTATAGTTTTACAAATAAATTAATTTACTCTTTGTAATTTTTAAAATTGTTTAAATTAATAAGTATTGTTTAGATTTTAAATATGGAAATGCTGCCATATTTATTATTCTATCTATATATTTAATGGTAGATATTTTAGAAAGTAGCAACACAATAATCGAGGCAATAGGGATGTGGGATTTTTTCTAGACAATGTGGCCAGATATAACAAAACATTACGAATTTGGCAAAATTGATATCGTAAACGGTGATTAGTGTACAAATTTCTTTCCTAACTTCAAAGATGAAGTATAAAACATTTCACTTACATGTTTATAATATGCACACACCTCATGTATTTGGCAGTGACGTTTAGTCTCATTTAATCTAAACATGTCTCTAATTGCAACAAGACGATTTCTGTACATAGGAGAAATTAAAAGAGCAATTAATATTAAGGGTCTCAATATCTATCATTCATAGAAAGTATTTTTTATTTTTTGCCTTGTTTCGACATCATACAAAAACTATTGCATCAAATTGATAGCGGATTTCATTGATGTATGCTTGAAGGTCTAACTTAAAATACGGTCCATATTTGTCTAGTTATACTATTTAGAGCTTAGATAATAAGTGTGTTATAATAAGTCTATCTAGACAGATGCTTATTTTTAAAATTAATGCATACAGAACTGTGGCTAAAAAGATCCAAGTGAATAAATTTATTGTCGATTCGATTTTTTTGATAGACGTGTCTGTATTTTGTCATACATGTATATTTTTTTATAAGATGAAAGTGTTATGGTAACCCTGCTTGCGTTATTGGTACGTATACGTTAACGAGGCACCAGCAATCAATGGCAAGTCAATATGAAGACAGGCCAGTTAGCTCATCTCGATGAATTCGCCAGGAAATAACCGCAATAGTTTTCAGAGAGGTGGAGGTCGACCTGGTAGGGTATATTGGGATTCTCAGTCTCCATTACTAACAATCTCTTTCCCGCAGGCGGGGTATGCATAGTTGAAGAAAACGAATGAAACAGGTCTTTATATTGCCAAAATGAATCACAAGTTTATTCACATATACAAATATAATCCATTTAAATATTTAAATACTGCCGACCACTACAATAGGGATGATTCCGAGGCGACATTTCTCTAAATCGATCTGTAAAATTTAAATTACAATTCACAGCGTAATCTTTATTCTAAATAGTAATAATACATTTATAATTATTATAAATTTAGATTATGATTATCTATAAAACGATAATTTCGCCAAACTATCAATATATAATTTTAGAGAAATATCATCTCAAAATCGGCTCCAATATAAAATGCTGTATCTTAAGTGTCCAATAAACGATCACACTTAATCAAATTTAACGTTTAACCCATTAACCGCCTCATTTGCATTTATCTTACAATAAATATTTTTGTCTCTGTATCGAGAGAAACTGTGTTTGTATCTACGTTGTTTTTTTTTTTTCAGTTTATCCAATTGCTTAGTTTAAAACACAATAAATAAAATACAACTGTTCTTTTTTCATTAATTAAAAAACTACAAATCACATGTTAAATCGTCTACCGGACGCTTTAAATGCTGTTCTGCTTTCGACCAGTATAAACAAAATTCACTATCAGGTCCAAAATAAGTCTTCACTGAAACAACAGTTTAATTATCTTGCTCACAGAGTCTCTTGTAGCGTACTGTCGAAATTCTATTCGTTTACGTCACACTCTAATTATTTTTAATTTATAAAGTCATAACACTCCGACATGGCCGTAGCTAGGTGGCAGGAGGCATTTAGGGGCAATGCCCTACCTTAGAATAAAAGGCCCCAGAAAATTAGACAGATTTGTTTTTTCTAAATCACTTAAATATGGCTTCTGCCCTACCAAAAAGTTCTTTTGCCCTACCTTAAACTTGTGTCTACGGCCCTGTACTCTGGGCAATAATATTTGTCGCTCTTCATAACAGGTTATCTTTAACGTTGCCGCTGTGGATACTCGCTCCCTTACCTTACTCTATTATGCTGTGAATTTAATTAATCTATGTGATATTGTATAATGATTAATAACAGTAAATATATAAATCAAAATGTTTAATGAGTCATTGAGATTAGGGCTTTCGGTTTTTTCAATTAGATTTTTTTGTTTATCGCCCGTCCAGCGGTCGTTTTGCCGATTATTTTTAATTGACATAAAAAAGGGAGCAGATTTTCAGATCTTCAAAACAAATGTCCTGAAAAAATAATACATTATTAAATATTATTTTTTCAGGACATTTGTATAAATAAAATACATAATCTATTTTTCGATATTTGGCATTTAGTTTAGCCAAAAATAAAAAAACAAAAAAACGGTAAAGGTACAGGTAACGGTAAAGAATATCCCATACTAAGTTTCAATAACTGGAGGCCCAAAATTTTTTGTCGTATATCAACTACAAGCTTTTACCTAGGAATTCTTCCGCGTGATCGGAATAAAAAGTAGCCTTCTCCATTCTATCTAGCACGTGTATACCAAATTTCATAGTGATCAGTTAAGTCGTGAAGGCGCTATGAGATAACAAACAAACAAACTCGCTTTCTCATTTATAATATTAGTAAGGATGTTCTTTTGGGGGTATTAAACAGTAGAACACACCTTTAAAAGGACCTTTATATTTAATTTTGTTCAATTTATTATTATTTTTACTGTTTAATTTTTACAGTGCGTAACAAAAAGGTACAAAGGAATCGTTATGGTGCTACTTTGCCAAGTATAATAAAAACAGATTACTATATTGTGATTGCCAATTGAACCGAAAGCTATACTCAGTCTATGGCTATATAACCATAATTTATGTCACTTTAGTGTTGCCATTTGGACATAAAAATTAACAAGCGGCGTAAGCATAGAAAGCGGAAATTAATTTCCCTTTTTTAACACATGCCACTCTACTTATGAGTGATTTATGTCAATTAATAATATATTGGTGTATTACTACCTAAGTCTTAAATCATATACCTTAAGATGGAGATTGGAGTGTTAAAAAACTAGTTGAAACCAACTGCACAAAATTTATTCATATTTTTTTTATTTCGCTATTTTTCAGTGTTGCTAGTAATTAGTTAAAATCCCCAAATCTTTTATTAGATTTTTAAATTTAAATTAGGTACTACTTTTTCTCTTTTAATATAAATATACATTATGTAGATACATGATTCACTGTTCATCCCAAAGGGGGAAAGGTAGAAAATTAATGTAATGTATTAATTAAAATGGCAGCCATTTTAATTGATGCAAAAGATTGACTCATTTTAAGTTTATTTAAATAGATTATTAATGAAAATAAGCATTAATATGAATAATTACACTGAATATAGCCCGTTATTGTAAATGTGGACGAAAAATTTTATTTAAATATTTATATTTTTTTTTTACTTATATACTTCTACTTACTGAGTAATAAGTATGCACTCTGGTATCCTTATTAAACACACACATAAATAAAATAAATTTGCCTCTTTTTAGGAAAGCATTTGTATTAAGTCACTTGAGGTATATGATCCAAGATTACATATGAAATAATGGTTCTATTATTATTTCTATAACACATCAAAATAAATAAAGATTCTATGGGAGATACGACCATACATTGTTAATATAAATATGACTGTACAATAAATATCATAGAACAGAAAAACAAGTGACGAGTCTATTGTATAAATACTTTATTTAAAATACGAATGAAATCGAACCTATTACGGTTAAAGTTCAATTCCATTAAATAACGTACAGTATTCAGAGGAGAATCGAAAATATAAGCATCTTTTTAAGAAACTGTTGTACCATTGAAATTGAACATTTGTTTCAAAGAAACATTGATGTAAAAATAATAAAAAATGTTGAACTGCCCATTTTAAGCAATGCTTCTAATATATAAGTTAGCAAGAGTGTGGTATCCTGCCCGCCGATAGTGCAGGCAGGATGGCCATTCCTGCCATTAACATCTTTTTAAAAAATTACACATGTTTCTAAAAGTAATTATGTTTGGTTTTCCTGGTGCAACACTCCCTTAAAGAGATGATATTAATTTTTATTATTATACAATCTGTATAACGTTCTTTTATACATTAAATACCTTATTTTTAAGAACTAAAACCTCCTACAAACCAACTTTAATGTTTCGGATTGTATTTAAGATTTCATACGAAATACGATTTCTATTTCGTTTCAGATTAAAAATAAAACATTTCCTATAAGCATTAATTTACTGGCAATATTTAAAATAAAATGTGATGCCATTCCTAAGCGTTTTTCTGTTCTGTGGTAAATACACACTGACGTACAACTAATTCTATACGCAGTCTTGTAAGCGATTAAGGCGATTTGACTGACAACCGTAACCCACCGACATAGGGCACAATTCGGCTTGGTGGCAATGGAATTTTAAATGTTCAATACCTATCACGCAATGCGACGATGTAATTAATTATTTATACTGTAACTAATTTAGGTAACTAAATATTTAAATATAATTTTCTAAACATGTTCATTGTGATACAAAAATATGTTAATATTGTAGTGTGATAAAAATAAGTATAGGTTTCAGCCATTTTGTAACATTCTGTCAAAATATGGCGGTAAAGTCAACTGTCAGAACATACTTTATGTTAAATGCATAGATTAAGGACAGTACCGGCGATCCTGTTAAATAAATATTTGCATTCCATATTTATTTCTTTATACGATTTTGTTTAAAAAATATAAAAAAAATGTTATCTGTTTTTATGAGATAAAAATAGTTGTATTTTGTGAGAGGACAAGTTAAGGTAAAACTTTCCTATTCTTATTTTGATCTCACTGTATTAATCTAATAGCTACATTACTTAAAAAAATCACAACTGTAATCAATCAATCAATCAAATGAATGTTTATGACTTACTCAGGATTCTTAGTCTATAGAGGTTTAACGTTCTCCCTGCCTCTAGTGTTCAAAATTATGCAGGCTATCACTTATATTATCCAATTTCAAAGCGTAACATTCTCTTTTGATTTTACTTTATAGAAGATGAAATTCAAATCATTAGCAACATTTTAAGTTTGCGTTCCATCATTGATAATTAACATTTTGGAAAAATAAAGATTGTGTCCCATAAAAAATCGATTTCAATTATGAAAAAATAACAAGTATTTTAAGCTAAAAACTAATCTACTCAACTGATTTGCTTAAAAATTTTATCTGCAGACATAAAAAAAAAACCAAACAAATTAAGAACCTCCTTCTTTTTGAAGTCATTTTGAAACACAAAAAATTACCAACAATCTAGAGCCATACTTGTTAACTCGAGAGTTAAGACGTAATTTTAATATGGCAGGTAAATATTTTTATCATTCTTCAAATTAGGTTTCCTTTTAAAAATTATACAGCTTAATTTTGTAAGGTCACTTTTTATAAAGTTGCCAATAATGATCTCAATTTCAAATTATATAATTTATCACTCTTATTGATCAATCAGTTTTTTATTTGCTAAATATAGGGTACTTAGATAATATAAGTAAAAATAAACAGTTTGCTTTATAATGTTCGTCCTCTTAATATACATTATATTATAGCCTGCTAGCAAGTCTGTAAACAAATTAAAAATGCAATTAAGACAAAATGGAACGACAGACATATTTTTAAATTTTGTCTATTAGAGAAATTTAATTATCATTATTTATAAGTTTTAAACATGAATTAAAAATGAATAAAAGCTTTAGTTAATGTTATTTCTTACTGGAAATGTCAATGTGAATCTCTGTCGAAAATGTTTTAGACCTGTATGGAGCCTAGGCCCATTTAAATATACAGTTATATATATATATATAAAAAAACAATCAATATTTATAATTTTTTTTTATACAATTTTGCTTTATGAATGGCATAAAATAAATTCAGAATTTAATATTTCTTAATTTTGGTTGACATTGACTTGAAATTATTAAATAACTGTTAAAGACGTGGTATTTATTTATTAGATTTAGATATTAAAGCCATTATATATAGAAATTATAGATAAAAACAAATTAGTTTACATAAACTGTTTAGTTAATTAATTTAAATTTTCATGAAAATTCTTGTACTTTTCTTAAAGTTTTGGGGTACTGTACACTTACTAGGCCCCATACATTATACATTTCCTTTTATTATTTTTCATAATAATTATTTTACAAAGGTAACATAATTATTATTGTGTTAAATTTTTCACTTTACGCTTCCTAGAAAATTAGTGGTAATATTTTGTGACATGTTTAAATACCATTGCGTGCCCTTGTCGGTCTGTACAGTTTAGTTCTAGCGTCATTCCTTAGGTGTGGACGGTGCACTGTCCTCAGCTTTCCTTTTACTGCCCGCTTGCTGCGTTTTCTTATCTGGCTTGTATTTCTCCCATTTTTTGTGGTTTAGCTGGTCGAAATCATCACAGTATTGTGCTATATCCCGTAAGTAGGTGGATAAATGCAATAGTTCCCTATCTCGATCCCTATTCAAGTGTGCTTGTCTAAAGGGACGGATCTTGAGGCCACTCTTTGGGTTCATTATGAAGTTTCTTCTTATGTCGTCAAACATTATTGTGTTTTTTGAACTGTATTGTGGGTATTTACCCCATATTACGCCTAGTGGTTTGACCTGAAAGATGCAATATAAAATTATATTATATTAATGATGCACCCTGGCTTCGCATGGGTGTAATGTAGAACCTAATGCGGATTCATACTGTACATATTTTGTATCAATTATTTAAACATTAAAATGATTTATAGAAAGCTATTGGTATAATATAGACATATACCATTGCTGACTTTTTTATAGTACTAATAAAAAGGAATAATTCCATTATACATTATTTTGTTATATTAAATTGTATGTATTGTATAATCCTTAATCTTGAATCATTATTAGATGAAAACTGCCTTAAAATTCGTTGTGTAGTTTAAAAGATCTAAGCGAGGGACATACAGAGGGATCATCAGCGGGAAGCGACTTTGTTTTATAGTTTTTTTTATGCAACTTAAAATGACAAACATGCATTCAGCCCATATGATGGTAAATGGGGTTACCGTCACCTATAACATCAGGATCACGCGATGCGACAGATCACGCGTGCGTTATCGACCACTCCATAACCTGAGCATTCGTGGGAGAAAACTCTTTTTAAACCGCACTTGTGTGAGCATTTTGGTTGGTGAGGATAAATCTCCTACCCATGGCAAGTAGTATGATAATAAAGTAAAAAATAGTATTTTTCTACTATATAAAAAGAACTATTACGGTGTAGTAAAATAAAACTAGTTTCACATTTTCACAGGGCCGTAGCTAGACCCAAGTTTAAGGTAGGGCAAAGAAACTTTTTGGTAAGGCAGAAGCCATAATTAAGTGACTTCGAAAAATCGAATCTGTCTAATTTTCTTGGGGCCTTTCATTTTAAGGTAGGGCACTGGGCCTTTCCAAGTAGGGAATTGCCCCAAAATCCCCCCCCCCCCCAACCCGGAACTCGTCCTCCTGCTACGGTCAAGCATCTTCAGGATTATAAAAATATTAAGAGACTCACATCAATTGTGCCATATTTTGCAGTGTGCACTGTAATCATGGCTAAGTAGTCCAAATAGAACATTATCTTGTAGTCCTGGTGTGTGGAGACACCAAGCAGCCGCATCTTCTCTTCTATCCACTTCATGCCGGTAGCTGACCATATTACTATATCGTAGTCTTCATACGCTGACGTAAGAAACTCGTGGAGGAATGGTCGCATTAATTCATATCCTGAAACAGAAAGAAATTTGTGTATAGGATGCAAGTGAAAAACAATAGTCTATACTAGTATTACAAAGAGCTATAATATATAGCTATTAACAACAAAATTAAATATTTATCATATTATTTTTGTATCATATATGTTATGCTTTATATACAAACAATATAGATGCTTTTTCCATTCAGGTACACATAATATATAATATTAATTTTCACCACAGGGAGACTTTGTACAAAAGTTGAAGTCCTCTGTCCCATTCGTGTTTCAACCATGAAGCAGTTGTGTTTGCATGACTGTGTTTTGGCTTAAAGGGTGGGATATGGCGTGAATTTACTGGGTACAGAATAACACCTGTGTCCTCAGGAATGGCAACGCATGGAGAGTATCATGAACGAAACAGTATACTCTGTTATGTCCATGGTACTGCTTATGTCTATAGGCGACGGTTACCACTTTTCATCAGCTTGTTTGCCATTCTAAGTTGAATAAAAAAAAAATCTCTGATGTGTAATTTCTGGGTTAGCTCTAATACTATCTAAGGGTACAGATGGGCAAAGCACCGGGTTTAAACCCGGTGCTTTGGTAAAAACCCAATAAACACCCATAAACTCCCATAATCACCCAAAAAAATAGGTTTTTACGTATTTTTTTGAAAATATGTAAGTAATACCAATAAATTATTTTTATAAATTGTATTGATCAATTCTACAATATTAAATAAAACGTTAACTAATAATATTTCAGGAAATTTTAAAAATCTATATATAATAAAATGAAAGTAATTAATTTTCAGTGTTTTCATGTTGCAGTTGATCAACATGTTGGCCTTTTGCTTCCCGTAGATACTTTAAAATTTCTTCATAACACCTCGTTCGCACACATGGCCGTATATATTTAAATTCTTGAGCCACTAACAGTCCGAAATACTCATTTCTTTTATCCTCTTCTCCATAAATTAAGCATTTAGAACAGTTTGTTTCTTCTTTCAGTAAATTTTCTTTTACTTTATCCTCGTTTTTTTCTTTGTTGCGACGACGCTGGGTAAATCATCTGGACACTGGGTCTCACTATCGCCAAATATATTTGGAGATCGGCTTCGGCTACGGCTTGGCAGACATTTTTTTCTTTCTACAATTTTAAATTAAATTTATTAGAATAAATGCTTCGAACACACGCGATCTAAGTACCTTTTGTGTTTATTATACCTTACCTACCTAGGTATAAAAAGAGTACTTACGTAGATTTTCTTTTATTAACTGTTTTATACGAAGATCTTGATCTCTCAAATTAGCATCCATTTTACTTCCAGTGATTATCAACTAAATTAATAATCCACAAAGTATTAAATAACGTTTTTATGAAATATTTAGCACAAAAACAATACCCTTTAAATATCGATCGTCAGTAACTGTGGCTGACTTACCTATATTCTAGCAAGCAGGACTGCCAGATGTGAAGGGGAAATCCCCAATAAATTGTTGCATGTGACTGATGATGTGAGCATGTTCGTTTCATAATAAAAATGTTGCCAGGTAACCAAAAAGTCGTATGTTTTTGTGCGAATTACGATCATAATCTTTACGATCGTACATTAAAAAATAGACAAATAATAGTATGAGTACGATTTAAATCGTATATCTGTCAACCCTGCTAGCAAGACAGCGACAAAATCACGTTGCATAACAATGTAGCCCAAGCTTATATCTTATGAAATATACGGAAGAGATACGGACTTAGAAAAAACAGAAATGTTGTTCTTTGTGGAAGTCATTGATGAAATTCTATGTATTTTAGCCCGCAAACTTTCTTCAAACAAAAACAGCACCATCTAGTATCGAGTTCTGTAATTATCTCTTTGTTTATGGATTTGAAGTAAGACCGCCACGCATGCAATACATTATGACTGGGGATTCCCCTATTCGTCGACGCTGAATATGAGGCGACGACAATCACTGTCAAACGTGTTCACTATTACTCTGACTCTGGTAACGTGACTTCCTGGTAACGTGTTAGGTAGGAAAAGCAGTAAAAAAGTGCATATTAAGGGAGCAGATTTGAAATAATATTTATACTTAACAAGAAATAATTAAAGATAAGTGGATTTTTGAATGATACAATTATATCATGATCACTTAACAATTTTAACTTAAAATTAGATGTATTATTACAAGCTTTTATTTAGCTTGCGTTATGTAAATAAAAGTATGTAGGTATGTTCGTATGTTGATGCAATTATCCTCAATCCTCAACCGACTGGGATAAAATTTTCCATACACGTTTATTTTGGATGATAGTGCATAGTTAGCTGAGAGTCGTCATTGGATAATAATGGTGGATAGCCTAAGATGTGTACTAGATATTTATTTTTAACATAATATGCGTAAGTACCTAATCGAATTAAAGAAGTTGCTGAGAAAAATACAGAACAATACGATAATAAACTAGCATCTGCGTTTAATCCTCCGAGGAGATGTAATTTTACAAAGGTTTTTTGTATTTATTTTATTATTTTTTTAATAAATTTATTGTAAATAACAAGAAATAATCATTGTAAAAAAATAGGCACTCTATTGTTGAATTTTCGTCAGACCAACTAATCATCGTTCATTTTTTTAGGTTCAATGGGGAGACCTAAAGATTTACGCATATGGGAGCACTACCGTACTTTACCAAACAAGTCTGTTTCTTGCAAGCTTTGTAATAAGGTCTACAAATTCAGTAATGCTGCCAAAATGCTTCAACATCTTATCACTTGTCCAAAATCTCCAGAAACATTAAAAGACTCTATGAAACTTATAAAAGATAGCTCGTCCAAAACCAAAATGTCTGGACTGTCAGAGATAGAGACAAATGATTCTTTTATAAGCCCCTCGTCGTCTGCTAACACTACAATAAATGCTGAGTTTCAAGACACCGATGATCATATAAAAACAGAATTAGCGAGAGCTATATTTGTAACAGGGACGCCATTATCGATGGTGCAACATCCTTTATGGATACAATTTTTCGAAAAATTGCAACCAAAATTTAAAATACCTTCACGTAAAGCTTTAGCGACAAAATACTTAGATAAAATATATAGAGAAATGCGTTTTGAGTTAAATGAGGAACTAAATGCTTGTAGTTACTTACACCTTCAGTGCGATGGCTGGTCTAATTTAAGAAATGAAGGAATAATAAACTTTCTTATATCAAAACCTCAACCTGCATACGTTAAAAGTTTGAATACAGAAAGTAATCCTCACACTAGTGAATACCTTAGCCAAGAAGTTGAAAAAGTAATGAAAGTGTATGGAGCAAATAAGTTTCTTGTACTTATTGGCGATAACGCTAGAAATATACAAAAGGCATTCGAATTAACAAAACTCAAATATCCACATGTTGTTCCTCTCGGTTGCTGTGCACATATCCTTAACTTGTTGTGCCAAGATATTGTAAAGATACAAGAAGTAACTGTGTTTATTATGCAAGCCATAAATATAATAAAAACTGTTAAAAGGAGTCAACGATTAAGTTCCTTGTTGATAAAATCAAGGCAGGGTGAAGATTCTACACAAACACTAAAATTGCCTTGTGCTACAAGATGGGGAAGTCATGTTACTTCGTTAAAAAGTTTGAAAGCAAATAAGATAGCTTTGCAAATATTAACAGTTAGAGAAGATGTGGTAATTTCAAGAGATATTAAAGATTTAATTCTAAGTGATGATTTCTGGACGAAGACAGGGGAATGTATAAGTATTTTGGAACCAGTCACTGAAAGCATATTTTACTTAGAGAGCGACCAGAATCGTTTGCATCGCACATACATTACATTTAGAGATGTACAAGCTAAGATACGTTTTGCATTAAATGAGATTTCGACATTGAGCGAAGAAAGCAAACAGCAGATTCTAACATCAGTATCTTCAAGATGCAATATGGCAATGAGGCCAATACATTTTGCAGCATATATTCTAGACCCCAGGACTCTAGGAGTCGAACTTACTCAAGAGGAAGAACTTAAGGGTATGGAGTTTATCTACAATTTAAGCCAACACTTAAGTTTGTCAAATGTAATGGCAGATTTGGCGTGTTATAAAGCTAAAGAAAACTTTTGGGCCAGAGGATTTGTATGGAGCTCATTAGATAGCATTGAGCCCCTAATATGGTGGAAAGGTATTTGTGGTTCCACTGAGTTAAGCAAAGTAGCGATTCGTATTCTATCAGCTCCCTGTACTTCGGCAGCCACTGAGCGTTCCTTTAGTATCCAAGGCTACATACATAATAACAAAAGAAATCGACTTACAACTGAAAGAACTGAAAAAATTTCATTCATTTGTTATAACTGGAATCTTAAACATAAAGCTGAATGCGAGGACATTCAGTTTAATGAAGAAAATACCTTAGAAGCTTTCATTGAGCAAGTAAATGAACATAACAGTTTAGACGAAATAGAGCCTATCGAACCTATACAATTCATCGCTTGTAATAACTCTGAATCTGACAGTGATTGACTGTAGTTTTACATTTTACTTTCATCTCTTTCTTAATAAACTCAAAATCAAATTAAAAGTTTTTTATTCTGTAGGCTGCATAATAATATTGTCTATGTCCAGTATAGTGAACGTCTTGCGGCTGAGATGACGATGATGAAGTACAAAATCATAAACACCCAAAAATTTGGGTGTTTATGGGGTTTAAACCCAATAAACCCAAAACACCCGGTTTTTACCCACCAGACTTTAAACCCACCCAGGTGGATTGCCCATCTCTATCTAAGGGTAATTACAGATCCTCTTGATTGCCATCGTCTTGATGATTCACATGCTGGCTGATATAAAAAAAAGCTTTGGCAGGCAATTGTAATATATATAAAAATAGTGTGGCTCCTGGTAACTTAAATAAAGAATTTATTATTATTATTAAATTTCGGAGTGGCAATACATGTTTGCAATGGCGTATTTGAGTGATGGCTGTAGTTAGTTACTAATTACCACTTTCCAGATGGACGGTTTTCTCATCATTCTCAGTAATATAAGAAATGTTTCACATACCTGTTTCAGCAACAGATCTGTGGTCAAATAGAGTGTAGTCGATATCCAATACAAGCAGTTTCTTTCCGGGCCGTGATTCATTCAATATATTTATTTTATAATCCTTAACCCTTTTGTTGATTTTTGCTAAATATATCTAAAAAAAAAAGGATATTGTTTAAATGCAAATTAAATTATTTTCTATTATATAATTGTAATAGTACATATTTATAAATTGTCATGAGGTCCCCGCATAGAATAGGCCACCTCTTTGTTTTCATTATCAAAGCGTAACTGGGGTTGCTAACCCGCCTGCTAAGCGTCGCAATTACTGGCAAAATTCTTCTTATGGTGGAGTCCTATGTTCAGCAGTGGATAGTTAATATCTAATATATTTATAATATCATGGGTATCACTATGTATTCTGCAATATCCATGGTATTATTCATGTTTATAGATGATGGTTATCACTTTCCATCAAGTCGATTGTAAACTTATTCAAATCTATTCGAATAAGTTTACAATCCTATATCCAATATTGAAAATATTATAAATATAAAAATACTGACAAAATTTAAGAATACACTGTACAAATGGCTTTTGGACATGTTTATTCAATATTACTCAATTAAGGACTTGTTGGACTAAAAAATTATTCCATTTTATAAGCACATAAATAATATTTTGTTAGCAATATTTGAAAAGAAGTTACCATAAATATTAAAATTTTGCATGCCATTGTTTTGACAAAACATGCCTGTTCCTAACATATTATTACTAACATCTGTATACCGTGTTTTTCAGCAAATAAATTATATTATATTATTATTCGAAACAACCTACTGAAAGCTATAACATTACTTGCTTGTTGTATCTGTAATCTTCTGGCTATGAATAGGCTAGTGAGTCCATAAGATAGCAACAGCCAATGTCTTGTTCTTTCTCATAGACTCACTAGAGATAACAATTCATCAATTATTCAATAGTCTGTAGTCTAACTATTTATTGTATAACTAGTATTGTAGTTTTTATAAATTTTCATACTAATAATAATATATTATGAATACGCATGTCGTGGAGGCCTTTAATTGAGGCAGCATTGTATAATGTAACCTTAATATAATTAAGTAGATATAAATGTATGCTTTGTTAGTTGTCCTTAAATAAATAGATTAATAGACTTGTTTGCTATTTGTCTAGTGGACTAAGTTTTCCAAACTACAAAAGTGCCAATAGGCGGACTTGTGTCTGATGACCCTTTATGCAAATAAAAGATACTACATACTTCCTGATTTTCAACGTCAACTTCCTCTTCTTCAATATCCAAATCATTGACAACCTCATCACCAACATCAGGTTTTGTCCGAGCACCCTCGATTGCCTCTTCCAATGATCCCATCATCATAATCTTCAGATTTGGCTTGAGGTTCAGCTCAGATAATGTGAAGTTATCTGTAGCTACTTTACCTGTAAAATAATAATAGTAACTTTATTACAAAACCATGATTGTAACAAAGTCAGCACTGGAAATTACGAAGTAGGTAAATTTGGGTATGCTGGATTAGTTTTAAACTTGATAGTAGACCTTATTAATACACACATGTGATAAAGCAAGACAAATAATAACAGTACAGACAGTATGACTAACAATAGTGACTAACTAGAGACTGACTGGATATAAAGCAGTAAAATAATAAGAAAATAAACTTTGATGCTTCTGATTGGAGTTGTTTGCCATCTTCCCTCCTTAAGATGGGAATCTTTTTCCTAAATTTGAATGTTGTCTTAAAAACAAATAATATTATCTCTTTCTATTGGAATTTTGGACATGTTGTTATACTGCAGAAAGTTGTCTCTACAATTATTTAATTGAATTGTCATATTAAGATTTTATGTTTGTTTTATATAGGATATTTGAAATGTAAAACAAGCTGATGATCCACTATGGAAAGTGGTAAGCATCACCTACAGGCCTGAACAGCACCATAGACATTACAGAATGCAATGTGGTACCCCTTTGTTATATGTCACCCTTTTTGAGGTCTATGGTTTTATGTCTCTATACAATATTCACCATTTATCTTTTTTTTTTGGGTGATATGCTCCTCATGGTATTCACTAACTATATGAAGCATTTTAAAAAAAGTTTAACAGTGTAAATATTTTTTGTAGTAAGATAAGTGTTGCAATTTAAATTTCTGTATACAAAATAGTAAATTTCTAAAAAAATATCTAGGGCATAGAATGCGATTCGCTCTTGTAAATATTTCGAAAGTGTTACATAAACAAGCGGTCTTGAAAATACTTTCATTAATTATAATTTTTTATTAACATTTCGATTTCTAGGTTAATGAAATTTTAGCAAAATTCGGACATTTTAACTACTCTTAAATTATAAATGTTAGGTTTTATACATAAAAAAAGAAGTGTTATTTACCCTGGAATTTAACATTGAGCAATTTTTGCCTTTCTGGACGTACTCCGGTGGCATTTTCGATGGCAATTTTGAGCATCGCCACAGAATCGGATGGCGAAAACTCAGGTATTTCATATTCTTTTCCGTTCCACTTGACACTCAACTTTAACGGATTATCGTTTATATCACACATTTTTCATGTGAAATAATGTAAAACTATCGTCTTATGATACGACACATAAACAAAACAATTTGGAAAGTGAACTGATTAACGACTGACTTAATGTGGGTGACGTCACTGACTGACGTTGTGACTGACATTTAACATGCTCCATGCTGCGTGTTGCCAATTCAGTACTAGGTTTTATAACTACTATGTAACTAGATAATATAAAAAAAATTGAAAATTTCGCCTAATTTCTATACTTATTTAAATTCTTTTGTACATTTACTTTTAATATAGATATTAGTTTGAAACAAAAATGTACACAAGCGGACTTATAATGGATTTTTTTAATAGAATTTCTTTTATTTAACCTTGAGAACTCAGAAGGAGAAGAGGAGGAAAAGAGGAAGGAGGTTGAAAAATTACCGACAATATCCTTCGTTCATCCATTTTATCCAAAGTTATACCAAATTATCCAAATATCTTTAATTATAAGATTTTTGTTTGTTTTTAATCAAAATTTTCAATTAAAAAAAAGGTTTTTCGACAAAAGCCATTCACGGTATCTTATAGAGAATATCGTGTAGTTTTCAAAACCCTCCTTTGATTTCCTAAACAATCATTATTTCCAAAGTTATTGATTGTCAAAGTTAAAAAATACCTTTTTGTTTTGACTGACGATAACTCAGCAATAAATCATCAAACAGACTTTTTGATTACGTAAAATTAAAGAGTATAAAATTTTCAAAAAGACCTATTGAAAGAAACAATGAAAAAAAAATTTTTTTAAGCCCGTTGACCTTTTTTTAGATAAGAAAAATTTGGAAAATTTTTTTGGTAGTTTTCTTAGGATTATTCTACACCTAAACATGATAAAAAATATTCATGGTCATGTCTGAAAATTAGACACTTGGGACTACAATTTGCTTTTTTTGCTATACGATCATTTTCCTTGGAGTTATAGGTCGTTGAATATCACTCAAAGATTTCTCACCATAACCTTAATGGTAATCAAATTTGTTCAAAAATAATACATTACTTGCGAAGATATTTTTATAAATATGGTATTAATCTTTATCCAAACGTATTTATGTTATTCATCACAAGTAATTTAATTTTGTACAAAATTGCCCTTACATCATTTGATTTTAATGAATACCTTAGTGTTAGTCTCTCTTGCTCTCTCTCTCTCTTATGTGATGCAGACGAAGTTGTGCTGGTCAACTAGTATCTACTGGGGGGGGGGGGGGGGGGGGGGGGGGGGGAAAGGGATTGTTAGTAATGGAGTCCAATTAACCCATTGCTAGCATCACACTCTTACACATCAACCTTCACGCGGTTCCCCCTGGAAACCATCGTGTTTAATTTTAGTGGAATTCGTCATGATGGACTAACTGATTTGCTTTCGTCGTCACCTATCATCCCTCACTGGTGTCCTGCCAGCGTATACCGATAGCGCAGGCGGGGTTACTATTCCCTTATCATCCATTAAAAAAAAACTAGTACCTATATCATAATCTTAGGTACTAATATGCGCTTTGTCGCATTTCGATAGTGTGAATTTCATATTACATTAAATGTAACTTACATGGCCAATGTACAAAAGTCGATTGCTTGGGTACCTCTGTCCCATTCATGTTTCTACTGTGAAGCAGTTGTGTTTGCACAGCTGTGTTTCGGTTTGAAGGGTGGGATATGGCGTGAATTTACAGGGTACAGTGGAATAACATCTGAGTCCTCAGGAATGGCAACGCATGGGAGGTATCATGGGCGAAACAGTATACTCTGTTATGTCCATGATACCGCTCATGTCTATAGACGACGGTTACCACTTTCTATCAGGTGGGCCGTCAGCTTGTTTGCCATTCTAAGTTGTATAAAAAAAAAGTGGCAAATAATAGATTTAAAAAAAAATAATCTGTAAGTTTATTTTTCATGACATCGTAATACATACATATTATTATATGCTTCACATGATTTTAAACAGAGAATTTTTCAGGTTCGTATGTAGGATCTAAAGTTCTTGTTCGAATTATTTCTTTGTAAATGTACGCTGATTTTCTTGGAGTGCGATTATGTTTTTCACTCGAAAAGTCCACTTCATACAAACCGAACTTTTCACTGAAAATAATTAACAATAAGTAAGTCGAGGGATGAGAGAGATCTGTGTTCAACAGTGGTCAGATAATGGCTGATATGGTGATGATGATGAAGTCGAGAGGTGGGCAGTAGTGTTTTTCTTAAAATATTACCAAAGACTAACTGTGGTTGTCAACCCGCCTGTCAAGCGTAGTAGATTACTAGTAAAACTCCCCATGGGGATGCCTATGTTCAGCAGTGGACAGTTACGGGTGCTATATATTGCTTTTTGTGATTTTTTTGTTGTTTTTTTTTTTTTATTTTCATTCTTTTATCTCATTTACTGTGTATTATGTATATATTTGTATTGTAATTTGTGTGCTGTTATTAATGTAAATAAATTATCTATCTATCTATATATTTTATAATCTAGTGGTGGGAATACTATCACATTATAAGGCATTATTGTCTATTTTATAGCCCCCGTTAACTTAAAATATACTACATTCACAATTAGTGGATATTCTGAATCGATTAAGTATATATCTAGCTACTGAACACCTTACGCACATTATACTTTTTTGGCAATTGGGTGAAAGTATGAACCTTGAATATTAATTCAATATGTATGTATATTATAATTTGGTTGTAATTAAGTCAGTTTAAAAATTTATTGTCAGAGAATCTAGTTATCGCTACAAAAAGGATCGCTTTTTATTTTTATATATACTTAGTTTTTGTGGATGCGGTATAGGTAATATAGGAAACTTACGTGTAACCATTCTTCCATTCAAAATTGTCTATTAGCGTCCAGGCAGTAAATTTTCTGACGTCACAGCCCTCCTCAATTGCGTCAAGGAGGACATTCAAGTAATTCCTATAGTATCGGATTCTATCTTCATCAAGCAAACCCCCGGATGTTGACCATCCATTCTCTGTTATGTATACAGGAGGATTGTCATACAGCTTCATAATTTCTTTTAGTATTTTATGAAAACCCCAAGGTACTTCCTAAAAATATTAACTACATTTAAAAGAAATATTTTTAGACACTTTGGGGTCAAATATTAAATGTGTAATTGAAGGATCTGGGGATTTAAATTTTGTTTATTTATTTTATTTATGGATGAACTTGCATCCGCCTATGATAATGTTATATAAAGACGAAGCATCGAAGGATGAAACAATAAGGATGATATGAGTTTAATTGGCCCATGAACCCCTATAAATCCCTTTCCTCAGAACGTGAGTTTTGTTTTGACGTATGGGCTCCGGCATAGAATGGGCCACCCCTTCCTTTCCCATGAATGTCATAAGAGGCGACTAAGGGAGGGCGAGGGATGGGCAGCAGCGTCCCTCTTAAAACATCTCTAAAAGCCGTTAGGCTTGTGGTTGCAACCCGCCTACCAAACGTGGCAATTACTTGTAAAACTTCCTTATGGGGAAGGCTTATGTCCAGCAGTGGACAGTTAACGGCTAAAATAAAAATTATAAAAAAAATGAGTTGTATAGGTATGGTTGGTGTAGGTAATTCTTCGGTTAGTCTTCAAGGGAGTGAAATAGAGTTATATGTAAAGGACAAAAGTGGGTCCATATTAATCAGTTATATAGAAAGAAAGAGAGAGAGAAGAAGCGAGGATGTGCATAAAAATTGAGTTGTACCTATACAATAATTGATGCTGGTATATCAGGTCATTATCAATGATTAGGAATCAATGCAGTTGTCAATATTATGCCTAGTACCTGTAACCAAGTAGATTGCGCTTGAGGCCATGCCGGATTACTGATTATAACAGCGGCCATATCATCCATATACGAAGGTACAGCATACATTCCTTCCAGCGATGCGTCTCTATACGTCAACTTTGTCGTGTAACTGTTGACACCAAAGAAATCCGAAGACCCCCGAATAAGACATATTTCAGAAGCTGATAATTCTGGTAATCTGGATCTAGGATATCCCTGTTCAGCACTTTTCAGAGCGATATTTCTCTTTAATTCCAATGGAAAGTCTCCAGCCTTTGAAAATATTGGATGCGCGTATTGTCCCCACTGAAATTAAATATATATATATATATATATATATATATATATATATATATATATATATATATATATATATATATATATATATATATTTATTCATATGGAAAGATAAAGGTCATCCAATTGAAAATAGCAATAGAAAGTACTAATGATAAACATGTGGGTGGGGGGAGGTATTGTTATTAACGGAGACTAAGGACCCTATTGCGAGCAATATATCCAACCAGGTCGAACTTCATATGGCTCTTTCTGGAAACCATCGTGCTGAATTTCAAGTGTATTCAGCACGTTGGGCTAACTGACCTGTCTTTTCATCCATAAAACGTCACCAAAGCCTAACTGTGGTTGCCAACCTGCCTACCAAGCGCGGCAACAACTGGCAAACCTCCTATGGGAAGGTCTATGCTCAACAGTGAATATATAACTGCTTACATGATGACTATAATGTAACGAAACATACATCAAACTGCCTTGCGTCTATAGCTGCTTGATGATCATCCACTGTATCAGAAGCTGGTTCAAACCACGTACAACTGATTGAAATACCAATAGTACCATTCTGTATTTTTCTATAATGTTCATCATATAAATGATACGCTTTCGCATGTGCCAGCAATACGTTTTTTGCACATATGTATTCTGCTACACCAGTTACATTCAGCATTGGCGCTTTTAATGTAGACCCATAGCCTTCATAGCAGATCTGTTTGGGTTCGTTTATAGTGGTCCAAAGTTTAACTCTGTCTCCAAAGTTGTCGTACAAAACCTTGGCATAATCGACAAACCAGTCTATAATATAAGGATTGACCCAGCCTCCCAATTTTTGCAGTTCATAAGGAAGATCCCAGTGGTACATAGTCAGAAAAGGTTTGATATTATTCTTGAGTAGTTCATCTATTAAATTGTTATAATAATCTATCCCAGCTTGGTTGATTTGTTCGGAAAACCCTTTTGGAAGTATTCTTGGCCAAGACACTGAAAATCTATAGAAGTCTAGGCCAAGCTCTTTAGCTATTTCTACATCACGTTTGTAGAGGTGATATGAATCAGCAGCTACGTCTCCAGTGCTTTTGTCCTTTATTTGTGATGGATCTGTATGGGTAGCAATATCCCATATTGATAGTCCTTTGCCTGTAAAAGTAAATAACTTAGTTTGCTATACATCTTACACAAAAATACACTACAGAGCGAACTGTATTGCAGGCGTTCATTGGCTACGGTAACCGCTTAATGCTGTATGCTTGTTTGCCACATCAGTGGTATAAAAAAAATATAGTCATAAAATATTAAAAGAAATAGTTCTCAATTCAAATTTAAAAGAACGACTTGACTTAGCAAATTTTTAATCTAATTAATTCCAACACTGAATAAATAACGTGTTTAAGGCTTAGTCTTGATTAAAACAATATGAGTTTAATTGAGTCAGCTAATTTCAATTTAGCTGAGTAAATATTATCATCGTTTTGACACTCGATGCTCTATCTACATAATAAACATAAAATAATGAGCAAGTGGCCATATGCACTTATTAGCTGCTTCCCGCGGCTCTGCTCGCGTGAATCAGTGTATAAAGTATCCTACATGTCAAAGGTATTAAGTTACGATATAAACCGGGTATCAAATTTGATTCATATCTTTTCAACTGTTTAAGAGTGATTGAGTAACAAATATGTAAATATCAAAACGCAAAGATTTTTATAAATATTTACATTTATATTAATAGTGGAATTTACCGTCTTCATACCATCCACCTTCTATCTGATAAGCAGAAGTGGAGGCACCAAACTGGAAGCCATCAGGGAATTTACGGATTTTGTTTGACAGGAACTCGCCATTGCAGTGCAAAAATATGACACTAAAAAATAAAAACAATTTTTTTTTATCTTATATCTATGGAAAATAAAAATGTAATGAAACTGAGGGTAGACACTTTAAAACTAAGTAACCTAAAAAAATTATGTGCGGGGGAAAGAGATTCCTAGTAATGGGGTCTAACAGATATACCCTATCAGGTCAGCCTCCACGGGTTTCCCCTGGAACCATCATGGTTAATTCTTGTTAAATGTGTTGCCATCCATAGAAACACTATGGATTAATTTTTGTATTCCACTCTGCTTTCTAATAGTTGGAGGCGATACTTTTTTATGGAACATTGAAATGAATAAGGAAAATGAAAATTTTCAATTGCAAATAAGGGCTTGTTCGTGTCCATTGAATTTAAGTCGGTACCTGTCAAAACATGCAACGAATTTTAATACTATTCCTGAGAACTAAGTAAGTATTAAGTCTTAAAAATACATACCACAGAATCAGAAATGGTCGGATCATATCAACAGTAGCTGTAACACTGAGGACGCGTTATAATTAATAAATTGAAATGGATAGTGAGTGGGTGGTGTATTCTGTAAATTGTATATAATTTTCAAGCGACTTCAGAAAGAAGACCAGAGAGACTTTGTACAAAAGTCGATTGCTTGGGTACCTCTGTCCTATTCGTGTTTCTACCGTGAAGCAGTTTTATGAAACTAAGAAACGGCTGATCAAGGCGACCGCTATGAGTCATACCTACATCCATCAGAGCCATCTATCGCTTCCTTCTTATTCATCACAAACTTATTACTTACGTATTGTACAGGACATTTCTTTTTATCATAAACTAGCTTTTTGCCTGTAAGCGTGGATTTCAGTACTAGTAGAGAAAATCAATTTATATATACATATATATACAAATAGACACAAATTCGAATAATAATGTTTTTGGTCTTTATTGATCATTTGCCTTTTTTACTTATTAGAAAGGGGTTTCTGTCTTATCCTACGTAATAAAGTCTTTAGTTATATATTTAGTTTCTTTTTATTATATGTTAGATTTTTTTTAAAAGCTTTGCTAATTCCTTTACTGATTATTTTTTACTTAATCTAAATAGTGGTTCCATACAAATTTAGCAAAAAATAAAAGTTGGTTATTTTTAAATAATAAATATATATAACTTTTTAAACACTGAGTTGTAGAATAACTCTGCGAGTAATTGAAACACTTGGATCATATTTAAATTACAGTACAGTTAGTTTCATAAATGTTAGACATTGTTCAAGTTTTTTTCTTTATTTTACAAACATTAGCTCCTTGTCAAAAAAGAAAAAAGAGAGTTCATGTAGAACGTCAACATCTCTATGTAATTTGTATATAGACCGCAGGTACTATTCTAAATCTATGGTTCACACTGAATATAGGTTAAGGAATATATCGCCATGCGGTCTCGTAAAAGTTTACTAAGAGAGGGCGAGGGATGGGCAGCAGCGTCCCTATTAAAACATCTCTAAAGCCTAACTACGGTTGCCAATCCGCCTGCCAAGCGTGGCAACTACTGGCAAAACTCCCCTTATGGGAAGGCTTATGTTCGGCAGTGGTCAGTGAGGGGCTGAAATAATAATGAAAAAAATATTAAGGAAGAGGATAGCATCTGCTATAATGCCGAAGCATAACATCGTCATTCAGAAATGTCTAACAAGTTAAAAAAAAAAAGAATAATGTAAGGTGAAGAAGTGCTGTATACAATTTGTATTCCTGTGAAATCGAGGCGGTTGGCTAGTATTTTGTAAACAGGTTTTTTTTATACAACTTAGAATGGCAAACAAGCTGACGGCCCACCTGATGGAAAGTGGTAACCGTCGCCTATAGACATGAGCAGTACCATGGACATAACAGAGTATATACTGTTTCGCCCATGATACCCCCCATGCGTTGCCATTCCTGAGGACTCAGGTGTTATTCCTCTGTACCCAGTAAATTCACGCCAAGTGTAAACAGGTACGTGGCAAAGTACCTTTAAATATAGGTGTTTATTTTTTCCAGGTTGTAGAGGAGGTTTAATGTAAAAGGTGTGCAAGATAAAAATCCAAAAGAAATATGTAACAACTAAAACATTTTAGTACTCAGGGATACCATTTCAGTACATCAAGCTGGCCGAGTTTACTAATAATGACAATTATCAATGTTGTGACTACATTTTAATAACAATTTATGCTTTCCGCTTAGAGGAATTGTTTTTTTTTTTATATAGGCGACAGGGAACGCAAAGGAATATTTCGATTAATCTTATCGTTATCTTAAAAAAAAAAGAAAACTATTAAAACTCTGAAAAGTATGTATTCAAAATCAAATTTAATTTGTAATCATGTAATACAAAAATATCACTAAAAAAAAATATCCAAAAATTACAATATACTGTGTAAATACAACATTTTAATGACTTATTTAGGAAATAATTTTAAAATTGTAGAATTTAATTATACAATGAATATTGCTGTATATTTCCCATGCGACTGAAAAGAAAAAAAAAATATTGCACTTAGTAAAAATTTATCGTACCATTAGCACTGAACTAACGTTTGAGGGGAAGCATTTTTAGTAATGCGGACTATCAGCCCTGTAGCAATATGCTAGCTACCCTACCACGGGGTCCCTCTCTGGAACCTATCGTGCTGAGTTCCAGATGTATTTTTTTTTCTTTATGTTTTTTTAATGTATGCCATCGTGATGGCCTAACAAAACTACTCTTAAAGTAAATATCCACGTGGTTTAGGAAGCTATTATTATTAATTCGTGGTGAACTTTTTACGTCAACTGACATGAATGCCTCCCTCACTCACTTATCATTCCTTTTTGGCACCACACCATGCGTATTATGCGTGTATTTTTTAAATGGGTGAGACTGGAATAGTAACCCCGTCTGTGCTATCAGTATACTCTGGCGGGGCATCAATGAGGTATGATAGATGAGGATGAAAAGGCAGGTCAGTTAACCTATCGTGATGAATACACCTATAATTAAGTACGATGGTTTCCAGGGGGGACTAAGTGGAGGTCGACCTGACAGAGTAGCTGAGAGATTGCTAGCAATGGGACTGGTAATAATAATTACATTTATAATTTGCCAGTTTAATATCATTCCCACTGGAATGCTGATATATCTGAAAAATTATATTAAAAAAAGAAAAAATCTAACCTTCGGCAGCTAATTTCCTCAACAAGCACATTTGGCTCGAACTTGTTAATGTAAATTGAATATTTATAAGGCCAAAATCGATGCGGTTGTGTTCCCAAATTGTTTCATTCCTATTTAATGAGGCACCTAATCTAAATCCTGTCCTTGTTGTCGTTGGTATTTGAACACGCAAGTGGTTATAGTGACCTCTTTTGCCCATGTTATTAGGTACTGTTCATTTATACTAACATAAATAGATATCAGATATATTATACAATATGACATTTTTTTTACTTTTACAAGTTTCATTTTATAAAACCTGAACAAGCTGTTGGCACACTTGATGGAAAATCGTAATTGTCGCCTATAGATATGAACGGTATCATGACAATGATGACAATCACCGAACATAATCCTTTTAGGTTTTTTAATAATTTTGTTCAGTAAAACGATACATTTTAATTTTACTCCCATTAGTATTAATAACATCTTATTATAGTTTTTTTATTGAACTCGCTGTTATCTTGCAGAAATACATTATCATGGTTAACACTTGGCTCCAAGTAGCGATCTAATAAATTGATCTATCCATATTGTACGGAGTGTCTGGCTATCAAGTTTTACATGAGAGCTTTGAATGTATTTGATATTTTCTACCGCCTTCAAAAAGAGAAAAATTCTAAGCTCGGTAGTATTTTCTCTTACTTAAGAACTCCGTCAGTTCTAAAGCGATTTGCAAAATCGCGTATGTAGTTTAATTTTATAAACCAAAATAACTGTTGTTTGTTTTTATAATTGAACTCAGTTTTTTTGTGGGGCAAAATCTTTAATTATTTAACTCATGTTTATATGGGGAAATTTAACCGTTACACTGGTTTAGTACTTCTTTAAAAGGATGCCAATAATTCAGATTTCACCGTGTATGTCGTAATTCAACGTATATGGTATCCCATTTATTGATACAACATCTCTCAAAAAAATTAATGCATATTCTGTACACATTTGACATTTCTTTGTTTTGGATATTTTTTCCTGTTTAGTTCCTATCTTTTTTTTTTATACCACTGAGGTGGCAAACAAGCATACGGCCCACCTGATGGTAAGTGGTTACCGTAGCCTATGAACACTTGCAATACCAGAGGTATTATGCGTGCATTGCCGACCCTGAAGAAACTTCTTTACCCCGCTTTTGAAGAACCCCATGCTGTAGTCTCTTGGGAAAACCTCGGCAGGTTTTGTACGATATCTTGAGAGTTTTCTTTTCTTTTCTCTAATTTTATATTTATCTCTTGGAAACTTTTGAGATGGACTGAACGTAGGAATACTCGTGGTACGTGTTACGCAAATTTTATTATTGTTAATATCTATATTATAATAATTTAATGGACTTAAATTAACAGCCAACTTTTTAAAAGAAATCCTTGATTTATATTTTAGCTTTGCTGATGTTTTAAATAATTGTGATTTACCGATTGTATCGTGTAATAAGGTGTTTCCCATAGTTTTACATATATTAAGACCTTTTGTTTTTAGATTGTAAGTTGAAAATATTGTTTTATATTAAATCCAGATTTTATTATTTTAAAATATCTATGTTTATTATTTAAGTAACTATTAATATTTGCATATTTTTCTCGGCATATTTTAGAATTAACAATTTCACTTTTTTTAATGACGTTATTAGTACTTAGGTTTACATTAATTATATTAGCGTTATTATAATTGCCATTTTTGATGCCAACGTCACAGCCTGAGTAAGTAAGATTATTTTACTTGTTATTATGTGATTTAAATTTAAAAATGTCGCTTCGGCGCTTTTACATATTTTTTTATGGTGCATTATTATAACTTTTTTACGTATTTGGTAATTTAATATATCTTTTTCCTTATTAAGAATTTCATCGTAGTCATAAAGAAGTGATGTTCTTTTAAAGTCTCTTGTATCATGCTTTCTTGGAGAAGGATTGTATGTTTGTCTTTTTGATTGTCATTGACTGACATCATTATTTTCCTCAGTTTCGTTAGTTTTACTCTAAAAAATAAAAAAAGTGTGTGATTCCGAGGATCTATTTCATATTAACCTCATTAGTCTAGTTATAGTAATAAAATAAAATTGTTCATATAAAAACATTATAGTGTAACATATACTACAGTGTAACATCCATGTTTATATACGGATGTTTATATACGGGTACTAAAATATTGTTTTAATATAATTTTCATGTCTCATTGTTGATGATCTCAAATACGTTTCAGGAATTCAATAAATGCAGACTTGACCAGAGGGAGACTTTGTACAAAAGTCGTTTCCTTGGGTACCTCTGTCCCATTCGTGTTTCAATCGTAAAGCAGTTGTGTTTGCATAGCTGTGTTTCGGTTTGAAGGGCGGGATATGGCGTGAATTTACAGGGTACAGAGGAATAACACCTGAGTCCTCAGGAATGGCAATGCATGGGGTATATCATGGGCGAAACAGTATACTCTGTTATGTCCATGGTATTGCTTATGTGTATAGGCGACGGTTATCACTTTCCATCAGATGGACCGTCAGCTTGTTTGCCATTCTAAGTTGTATAAAAAAATGCAGATAGATTAAGAGCATACTTTGTGCTCAAATACGTAAAGTATTAGATGATGGATAATTTTTTTTTACAACACAGGGGGCAAACGAGCATGCGGCTCACCTGATGGTAAGTGACTACCGCCGCCTATGGTCACCCACAACACCTACGGCATAGCAGGTGTGCTGCCGGCCTTTTAAATTAAAATTTTAAATTTTCTAAATTTAGTAATGATATGTGACTTACATACTGATTATTAACAGTCTCCATTAATTGTGTTTCACTATCAGGCTCCCCGTCACTTTCATCCGATGAGCCCCTTAAACAAAAGTATTGCATATCTGTATTTTTTTTAGGATATTAATAAAATTTAGCGAGCCGTATCGTCCCAGCATTGAATTGGCCACCCTTTTCCGTGGGTGTCGTATGACGGGATTAAGGGCACTTAATGTTCGAAGTATGCATAGTAGAATTCCTCTTAAAACATCACCAAAGCCTAACTGCAGTTGTCAATCCGCCTACCAAGCGTGGCAACTACTGGAAAAACTCACCAATTGGGACGCCTACGTTCAGCAGTGGACAAATAATGGCCGAAATGAAGATGACGAACAAAATTTGGCCTTTATCTTATAATATAAAATGTGTCTGATACAAATAGTGTTTTTTTAAAAAAATAATTTGGTATGTCACAGAATGATTTTATTTATTTTATGCTTCAATGGCTAAAGTTCCATCCCAACCATCTGGATTAGCGGCCAAACTGTTTTAAACCAACAGACTTCCCGTAGCAGTATTCCCGAACAGTTATGACATGGAAACGTTCAAGAATAGAGCATATTCTTTCCTACTGTAAAAAAACAGCAACACACCAGCAATTTCTTAAATGTTGCGGCTGTCTCTTATCAGCGGTAATCCCTCAAGTGAGATGTATGCTGGTTTGCCCCCCCCCCCCCATATAATAAAAAAAATATTTTCTACACATGTTGTGAGATATCTTCGTCAATTTGGAACCGATTTTGACGATTCTTTTTGCAATCAATATGCTTCACTTATATTGGTTTTTAAACGGTTTTATACTATTTTTTTAGGAATTAATTCACTATTGCTTTGGAATAAAAGCTTAAATTATAATGTATAAAATCGTACTATTTTTCAGCTTACATTTCTAGGCTGATGTCACTCAAATCACCATAATCATTGGGCGAGAGACATATTGTGCATAGCTGACCTATATCTACAAAACAGCTGATGCAGTAAACTCCTGGACAGTTAGGGGAATTGCACCTGGCATGCAGAAAAAAAGAGCATATAATAATTTCTTGTTAGAATTTGAACACACTTTCTTTACAATATTTCAGCGACTTTTAAAAGGAGGTTTTAATAATTTTGCGGCACTCATTGTAGTAAATAATTAAACCTCGTGAAAAATATTTTTTGTGTAAGTAGTTCTGTTGTTGTAGATATCCATAGGGCTTGAAATATTTTTATTTTTTATTTTATTTTATACAAAAATCCACAGCTCTTAAAAAATAACTTACATGCTAAGTCTCTTATGAATACAGCCAATAACGGATTTTACTTATACAAACAAAAATTTTGATTGTTATTTGAAATATTTGAAATTTTTTTATTGTTACGGCTTCGTACCTCAAAAGGAATACTAAACTTTTATAGGAACACTTTATTGCTCGTCTGTCTGTTCGTCTGTCAAGATCCTGTATCAAGAAATTGATATTGAATACTCAAGTCTGCAATTCTTTGAAGCTGTGAAAAAAATCTAATTCTCAGTTAATCTTTGTTTGTTTTTCTTTCTTTTCTCAATATCCTCTACCCAAAGGTTGTCTGGAAGAGATTGCTTAGCGATAAGGCCGCCTTTTGTATCGTTTCTTATAACAGTTAAATGTATTTACTATTTTATAAATGGTGCAACAAAGTGTAAATAAATAAATAAATAACGTAATTAAAAATGCGTTAAATTATATATTATGTTGTTTTATACATTTTGTCATTTGCAAGGGTATCAAAATTTATACAGTAATTCCGTTCACCTAAAACCATGAAATTTGGCAGGAAGCAATGTTGTACAATTTATATAATGACAAAAATTCCAAAACCGTAAGTTTGTATGTGTCAACATCAATAAACAAAAGGTATTTAATGGATTTTTTTTTTCAATTATAATTTGTATGCAATCTATGAAGTTATATCTATGTTTATGAACAATCCGCAACAGAATCCTTAGTATCCAACGAGCACTTGACTGGTTTTTCTGGTGTAATATGTGGTATGTTGTTTTGTTTAACATTTCCAAAACTAAAACATAGAATTTTTATTGTTCTTACAATAGGAACTGGAAAAGTAGTAGAGGAATAACATCTGAGTCCTCAGAAATGGCAACTCATGAGGGGTATCATGGGCGAAACAGTATACTCTGTTATGTCCAAGGTACTGCTCATGTCTATAGGCGACGGTTACCACTTTTCATCAGGTGGGCCGTCAGCTTGTTTGCCATTCTAAGTTGTATAAAAAAAAGGTAGTATTGTCATTTAGTCTTATAAGTACTTACGAAAGATTCCTAAAGAGGGTTGACGTCAGGCAGGCGGTCGGTCGTAAAACTATTAGCCAAATTTTTGTGTAATATGGATAAAACCATATTACGCGGACCCCAAATAATAATTGGGATAAGGGCACGAAGATGATGATGACATACTTACGAAACTTTTAATAATTAAATCAAATATGAAGTAGAAGAAAGATGTAATCAAAATTAAAAAAAAAAAATCAAATACATGCCTTTGAAGTTGTGTGTTATCGTCATTTGGATGCTCCTTAGTGTTACATAGAAGACAGCGTGGTTCTTTTGGACTTATCCCCAATAAGGATCGGAGCCACCGGAACCTAAGCAATGCGATAAATTTTCATACTTACATTAGTAATACACCCCGAATCTATGGCTAGATAGAAAGATAAGTATTTTATATTAGCTTAAATTTTTGATGCTTTGGGTTAAATTATTGTAATTTTCATAGGGATTTATATTTATTTCTTTAAAGTATTCTATGTTACTCGCTAATAATAAAGCTTACTTTTAGAAGAATTTTTAAAATCGGTTAGTAGTTTTTGAGTTTACCCATTATGAGCAAACAAACAAATGTACTAAAGATGAAATCTTTTCTCTTTATAATATGAATATAGAGGGGGAAAAGGGATTGTTAGTAATGGGGTCTAATTGACCTATTGCTAGCAATACACCCTATCAGGTCGACCACCACGCGGTTCCCCCTGGAAACCGTCGTGGTTAATTCTAGTGGAATTCGTCAAGATGGGCTAACTGACCTGCCTTTTCATTTTCACCTATCATCCATATGAAAATATGAATCCCTAAAAAAATATGTATATAGATAGATATATTTGCTAAAAAGAAATTGTAATACTGTGTATTGTAAATTATTTTTATTATGAAATATTTATTTATAGCGTTCCAGAAACTGTAATGCATGAGTTAATGATTGTTAAACTGAGCATGGCAAATCTGTTTTCCGTCCCTGCTTGGGAACTCTGAAAATCCTTTGCTTTATGTCTACAACTAGGGAATTTACCACGCTATGTGTCTGCATTTTATACAATTAATATCAAAAATATTACTTAGGTATAAATGTGAGTTTATAAAATTGGTTGTTTATTAATAATGACAACTTTAACATAACGGATTTGAGAAATTAAGTACATGTATTTAAAAAAAAATAACAGATTTCCTGTCTCCGGTCAAACTGTTTATAATTACTTTTCTCAGAGATTGCCTAGAAGAGATCGCTCTTAGCGATAGGGCCGCTCATATTGTTTTCTTAGTGTATTTTTTTCTTGTAATTGTTTATATTTATAATAAGTTTTACTAAAGGTAATCTTTTGGAGAAAACAATAAAGAATATCTGTCTATCTATACAAACCGTATATTTAGATTAGAAGTCCTAGATAAAGAATAATACATAAATAAGTACACCTACATAGGATAAATTGCCTAATTTATGTGGGCAAAGCCGCGGAATGCAACTAGTTTTAATATAAGTTTCACTAACGGTGCATGTGTTTCCAACCACTTTATAAATGTATATTTCTCTTCTGTGCAATATTTATATTTTCGATGTAGTTTCCTTCGAGCGAATTTCATGAAACCACCTAAAAAAATCGTTCTGCTGTAATTTTCAACAGACTTGAAAAAAGAAGGGAGTTTTTAAATCGGTTGTATTTTTTTTTTATATTTATTATCTCATAACTCAGTCATTTGTAAACCAATTTGGATTTTTTTTATTTGCAGGATATACTTACACATTTATTTATTCTTTATTGTACAATAAAACTTTGTACAAGTGACGAGCTTAATGCCATATGGCATTCTCTACCAGCTAACCGTTAGGTAAAAACAGAAAGCGTATGAAGGGCAGATATGGTGAAAAATATGTGACATAATTATAACTATACATATTGCTGCCATAGAAATTTATTTATATGAATATATTTATCAAAATCGATTTAGAAGTTTAGTTCTTATATTAAAATAACTGGTTATGCTATAAATGAAATAGGGTTTAATTAATTATTGTCGTACTGTTTTTAGTATTTAAAAGTAAAAAAATACTTTTAAAACAATTTTAAAAGTCCAATTATACCTTATAAGACCATTTTAAGGTTTTTTATATTAGCATGATCTTCTTAAGACTATGCTCATTGGGAAATGTCGTTTAGTTTAAAAAACTATGCCTTTTTTGTGTATTTCGAGTCAATATATTCTAACTGTTACTTTTATTGTATTTATCATAGCACTAGCGACTAGCCCCGACTTTACTCGAGAAAATAGACAGAATTTATTTAAATAAAATACAGCCCACGTTATTTGCTGCTAATAAAACTTTATGATATAAAGGAATTTTTAAAATTGACTAACTATTATTTGAATTTATCCATTGCTCCATCATCTAGCATCCATCCAATATTATGAGGCAAGATTTGTTTTTTTTTTTAATGCAACTTAGAATGGCAAGTAAGCTGACGGCCCGCCTATAGTCGGCTATATTTAATTAAATCTTTCCTTATTATAGCATTAATTTAGATGTAGTCAAGAAAAAATAATAAATATACCTCTAGTTCTCAATATATGGTTGTATAACCATTCAGCTCTCGCTTTAGCCCGTTCTGGTCGATAATGTCCCATAACCACGTGCCGTAAACGAAGCCCGTACGGCTCGAACAGAGCGAAGAACCACAGAAGAAATATTAATATACCTAAAGACATACTAATGAATTTTTATCTAAATTATATTTTGTTAAGCTGATTTATGTGTTATGCCAAAGAATAAATTATAATTACAGGTAAAACTGCTATTAAAATATAATGTGAAGACACTCTATGATTACAATGTCAATCATTTACTTGCCAATTTGTGAATATCGCTGCAAATCAGGGGGATAAGGATTCGGAAGACAACTTTCTGATGGTTGCTGGTATTCTAGAGGTGTTTTTAAGGCCTCAATTAACGATTGAAAGATCTCGGCTATTTTTCCAGTACCAGATATAAATACACCAGCATTGGGGGGTTCCACTGGAAAACATATGTATATATATATATTTCATTTGAAATCTATATTCATCTAGCTAGTTATTTATTTACTGCTAATGCCAATTAATGTTAAAAGTTCTGATTGTAAATATAATTATAGTAATTCGAATAATAATCCGCAAAAGAAACAAAGTTACCGACATAGCCCGAAGGATAAGTAAGCTGAAATGGCAATGGACTGGTCACATAGTTCAAACTACCGAGAACCGATGGGCAAGAAATACAACTTAGAATGACAAACAAGCTGACGGCCCACCTGATTGAAAGAGATAACCGTCGCCTATAGACATGAGCAGAACCATGGACATAACAGAGTATACCATTCCTGAGGACTCTGGTATTATTCCTCTGTGTCCTATAAATTCCCTGCCATATCTCACCCTTTAAACTGAAACATAGTCATGCAAACACAACTGGGGAATAGGACAGAGGTTCCCAAGCAAACGACTTTTGTTCAAAGTCTTCCTCTGGTGGCTTAGGACCGTTCCTTGTGACAATATATAGAAGAGACCTATATTACGCAGTGGACAGATAATATCTAAGATAAATTCTAATAACACTTATCCATTTTATTAAAGACTACCATTATTTATGATTCAAATCACCAAGCTTGAATTGGCGCCCAACGTGGGTCATGTAAAATCCATCATTTTAGTAGTTTAGTTAGAACTATTAAGTGTTCTGCTAATAGCAAATTAGTCTATTGAGAGATAAGTTGCTATGAGTTAGAACAAAGCAACGTCTGACGTTTTATTATTTCTTATTTGTCTCAAGGAAACGTATTTAATAATGAATTCGTTTTCTGTTTGTCTAGAGAACTGTAATTTTATATAAATAGGTTAGCTACCGATTGCTGAAGTGTTGAGGATTCATGTCAAACATACTTGGTAATGGTGTTTGCAATTCTCCATGATGGCGTATGGTAGTCAACACCCAGAACAAGCTATAATCAGCGACCATATGTATAAGTAATTTGAATGTGGTTATCACCATAAACACAGCAGATCTGGTCAAATAGACCTTCTCCGAAGTTACAAGTCGGAAAGAGGTCGTCTGAAAATTATTTAATAATAAATACATAACTACATACTGAGTTTCTAAAGTTGAGTTTATAAAGATTGAAAAACAGACGATAAAACAAAGAAGAGGATGAAATTTCACAAAATATAGAGTAGAGATGAGTATTATATAGCTAACTTATATATTGTAGTTACAATATCTGTATATTGGCCCTATAATTATATATATAGATATAGGAATGAAACAAATATAGATATCTGAATGATATGGGCGATATCGAAGTGACGATTTTTTCCGCCACCAATGTCTAGAGGAATCCAATATTTAAATACCGGAATGGTACCAATATTATTTAAGCCTATCTCAGGCAAACTATAAATGTGAAAGAAACAAGAAAAGTATTAAAAAGGCAGATTTTGTTATGTTCTCTCTAAGCAAGCAAGCCTTATAAAAGGCATAGATTGCAATTGAAAGATATTACCGTAACATATTTCGTTCTCTCTCTTCTATTTAGAGGTAAGACAGTGTCTCTGCCCTGTCGTAGTCTTTTTAGGTCTAAATCGCGCATCTCTTTCGTTATATAGCGATTGTCGAAGCGAGATCTTGTTTCAAACATGTGCTGATAATATTTAGCTCTGAAAATCACATAGATTAAGTATTATAAACATCATATGTTCACTGCGGAACATAAGTCCTTCCCTAAGGGAGTTTTACCAGTAGTTACCACGCTTGGCAGGCGGATTAACAACTTCAGTTAGGCTTTGTAGATGTTTTAAAAGGGATGCTGCTGCCCATTCCTCGCCTTCCCTTCGTCGCTTTTTACAACACCTACCACACGGCAAAGGTATCATTAACCTAGTCACTATTAGGATACATGAAATCAGAATGCGTTATACACTTACCTAACAATAAGAAAAAAATTGAGTATTTATAATTTAAGTAAAATTTTTTAGTAAAGTTGAAATATTTTCATAGCTTACACCTGTTATGCGTTTGTGGCATCAAACTAAAACTGTTTTTGATCTAGCAGTAGAACTGAAGAGTTTGTGGATAGGATCTACATTAATATTTAGATTAATTTAATTTCATTTTAAACAAATCCTATTCTTACTAATACTATAAATGTGAAAACGAATTCGTTTGTTTGTTACCTTTTAGCGCCTCAACTAACCATAACGAAATTTGGTATATAGTTACTATTTGGGAAGAACAAAGATTACATTTTATCCCGGCCAACTACATACCCCAGTCATGCGGATGAAATCGCGGGTAAAAGCTAGTAAAGCTATATTTAAAAATCCAACATTCCTACCTAAAAAGCCACTCAAATTCTCTGATGGTAAGCATCAGGTGAGTCCTTTGCGTGTTTGTTCCGTATTATAAAAAAAAAAAAAAAAAAACAAACCTAAATATAATGAGGAGTAAAAACAAACTAGTGACACATGAACTCCAAGAGAGCCAGGTGAGTAGTGGATCAGCCCTCTTTCTAATCTCAGTGACGATACCAGCGGCCACTTGACTGGCGGAGTGACTGGTATTGCTACTGAATGAATAAGAATGCTGGGTCTGGATTTGCAGGTAGAGCATGTCCCTGATCCGTTTGGTGAAGTTCTTTAACCCTGCAATGGATATTATATGTATATTCTATATTGCACTTGTAAATTACAAAGATTTGGCAGACATAAACTTTGTGAACAAGCATGTGATTATCTTTACATAGGTATATCTTTTCCAGCCCACCAAATACAGTTACATATTATATTAGTGTAGAAAAACGAAATCGTTAATTATTAAATGAAATATCTCAGTGTTTTTATAATACTAAGAATGGTAAATAATCTCTTAACGCACCAACTGGAAAATGTTTGTCAGGACGCTAAGAGTATCGCCTTGTACAACTATAAATGTTTGTACGCTGAAAACAGCAGAATATGGTAGGATTTAATTTACTGCTCTCATCTTGTTACACCTTATTTTAATAAATAAATTACAATATTATAATTATTAACTACTCGTATTAAATATTGGTGGTATCTACAATGTTAATTATTCATCTTTTCAAACATCTTGGCTCTTGAGAATTTAAAATCCCTTTTTTGTCAATAACACTGTCTGCTTTGTTTACTTTTTACATTCAAACATAATAAAGGATTTATGTTCCCCGGTACTTTCTTATACGAACACCAGTTGTTTTTGGCAATTTTGTTACCGCGAAAACATTGTCCTTTGTTCCCACGAGAAATATAGCAGAGTACTTGAGTAATAACTTAGGATTATTTAGTTCAATAGGTATGTTGAGCATGATTATCTTGGCACGGACATATCATGCGGGGAATAAAATTGAAGAGGGCGTTAAAAGAAAAGGGGGATGGACTGTGTGAAAGATGATAGGAATAAGAGTTAGCCCATGTATGACGGTTGATAGAGATCTGTGAAAGAGGAAGATTTATTTGCTAACCCTTAATACGAGTAAATGGGAAAAGGTAAGGCAATAGAGAATCTCAGAGATGATTCCACAGTATATCACCAATAACTGTAAAGATCAATAGTTGTTCTCTCTGCTTGTTTTTGCAGTATATACAATCTAGGCTAATTTAAGGCAAATCTGAATAAGCTATTCGTGGATCTTCGAGAACTATCTTAGACTATTGGGATTATTCTTGCAGAAAATTCCAATAGATCGATGATATTGGAATTGAGAAGTTTCGCACTTTTGAATTGGAACAGTAGCAACTTAATAGTTCTATATTGGTCTGATAGATGCATATTAGCTATTTATGTGCATTTAGTAATTTGCTAATAGAAACTATTGTAAATCAATTCTAATTCTAACCTAATTTTTAATTGTTACTTCATGAGTGCAGTACAAGATTAAAAGATAAAAGATTGATGAATGTGGAAGAAGCAAAAGAGGTTTGTTTCAATCGAAGCATTTGGCGTTCAATTGTTTCTGCCTACCCTAATGGGAGACAGGCGTGACAGATATGTATGTATGTATGAGTGCAGTACAAAATTGTCATTAGCAATAGATTGGATTGATATCGATATTAAATTCTAGAGTAGAGCTGTATCATCATTTAAGCAGTAAAAAATCTGTAAACTACAAAACTTACTCTTTTTGATAGTAGCAATAATACTTCCATTAATGTAGTCCACATAGACACAAATGACATTATATGACACGGCCTTAGAGCACACGACTTTCACTTTATCTGATATATCAAAATTCCAATCGAAATCTTTACTGAGACGTCGTTTATAATTTTCGTAGCCATCGTTCAAAGCTTTCTTACACCTTTCAAATGGCGTGCCAAATTTCTTATTGCAAATTTCTGTCAGTGAATTTAACCAGGAGAATCCTGATTGGATGACTTCCACTGTAAATTCGAATTCTATACATTACTAAGCCCTTTCCCATGATTTCGCCTATATATATTAGTATAAAAGAATCCTATAATGTTAATCTATTTATGTCCATAGTTGACAATCCAAGGATGAATTCTGCATACATAAAATTTTATAATGAAACTTGGTTTAGATAAAAGATGAACGAGAATATTATAATATACCTGGGTTGCCTGCTCTTAATTATTTTTTTTATAAGCAACTCTATTGCAGAATTCAGTAGCGAAATCTTAGGCTAATAGTTGAAAACCGTAGTTGAGAAACAAACATTTAAATATTTTAAATGTAATAATAGAAGATAAATACCGAAATCTACTTACGAAGTTCAAAATTGGTTAGTAGGTATGAAATAGATTTTATTTCTTGGGCTATTTAGATATTTATTATATCTTCTTATAATAAATATCTTTTTAATTTAAATATAACGAGACAATTATGATACTTAAGAGGGAAAAACAATAGGTATTGGCCTACTGTTATAATTTTAGCTTGACTCGGTATAGGTTTTTATTACAATTTTTTGTTTTCTTAACTCTAGTGATGTTCGTTCCTCTAAACAATTCAAATGTTAGGACGAAAAGAAGTATGCATCCATACTAATATTATATATTTTATATGCATTATGTGAAAATGACTCTGATTGTTACATTTTCACATTTAAACCACTAAACCAATTTTGATGATTTTTGATATAGAGATAGATTTTGAAGAAAACATAAGCTATTTTTTGTCGTAAAAATAAAGCTTGTATGGGGAATCAATTATTTATCAAATAAGAGTTATAAGAGTAGTCATAATTCTATTTTTAGTAAAGAATAAAGAATGTTTCTGAATTTAAAAATTACAAAGTGGAAGTACTGTATTGAACAAAACTACGGGCATTAGCTCGTCATATGTATATTAATTTTATGACCTTTATAATAGCTAAGGTATGTGCATAGTTATTTTTAAGAAAAAACTGACAGTGAATATGTATTTATACTCACGAACGCTCAAAATCAATCGGTTTAATTTAAGCAGAATTTCCTTGAATTGCCTGTTAATAGAGTTCAATCGATCAATCATTATTTTTATCGAGTCTCTCATTGAATTGTATGGTTTCTTCATTGAATATTTAATTTGATTGACGGCCGTTTTAATTTGTACCTGTCGAAAAGTTATATAAGTAAGCAAGCACAGAGTTGTTTTTCTCCAGCTGATCAACTGCCAGAGGGAGACTGTTCAAAAGTCGTCTGTCATGAAGCGACTATGATTGCATGATTGTGTTTCGGTTTGAAGAGTGGCATATGTGGACACATTATAGTCTTAGGGGGGGGATTATACCCTATCACGCCGATCTCCACGCGGTGACCCTTGGAAACTGTCGTGACTTATTATATTTATCGTTGCGTTCGTCACGATAGGCGAACTGATCTGCCTTTACATCTGCTTTACATCTGCGGTTTATGTAAGCTTGGTAGGTACACTACTAATGAAGGATAATTTTTTTATACGTAATAATAGTATAGTAACTCCGCCTGCGCTATCGGTATACGCTGGCGGGACACCAGCGACAGATGATAGGTGACGATGAAAGCAGGTCAGTTAGCCCATCGTGACGAATTCCACTAGAACTAACCACGATGGTTTCCAGGGGGAACCGTGTGGAGATCGACCTGATAGGGTGTATCGCAATGGGTCCGTTAGACTCCATTATTAACAATTCCTTTCCCCCAGAAGGATGATGTTAGGTAAGGATGAAATTAAGTTCATTGTCCATCGTGAAGAATTCAACAGAAATTAATCATGATGTATTCATGAATGAATAGTCTACCCGATAAGTTTAATTACTAATAATCCTTTCCCCTATAATAAGTAGTTACAGAAGGTTACCTATCATTAGAATATAGGCGATTTGGTCGTATTAACATCTTTGGTATTTTTAGACACCTTTTTTGTGGGAAATTAATAAGGGGTCATTGAATTACACTTTGGTCGTACTATGAATAAATTATACTTTAATAAGTAAGTAACCCCTACTTAGATATGCTATCAATTTGGTTAACATACCTTAGGTATATTAGGCAACTTTGAATATTTTATATATATATATATATATATATATATATATATATATATATATATATATATATATATATATATAGATTTCCTAAGATGACCGGCAAATAATATTTCACATTGTGCGAGTAAACTGTATTCGTAATTGTAACTAAATAACATGATGCTACCCACATTTAACAATGTTGCACCAAAAGTAGATAGAACATTTTTTTTTTGATGGGTGAAAATGGTATGGTAACTCCGCCTGCGCTAACGGGATACGCTAGCGGAGCACCATTGAAGGGTGATAGATGAGAATGAAAACAGGCCAGTTAGCCCATCATGATGAATTCATCAGGAATTAACCATGATAATTTCCAGGGGGAACCGCGAGGAGGTCGACCTGGTTGGGTATATTGTTAGCAATGGGATTCTCAGTCTCCATTACTAACAATCCCTTTCCCCTCATTGCAGGTGTATTGACTTGGCTTTTCATCCTTACCTATCATACCTTATTGGTGCCCCGCCAGAGTATACTGATAGCGCAGACGGGGTTACTATTTCAATCTCAATCCCTTTCCCCCCAAAATAAATTGAACATTGCAAATGAGTGTGTTTATGTTTTAGATTGTACCGTCTTATGTTAAGAAAAAGGAAGTTTTGAACTAACCACTGAGATACAGGATTAGCCTAGTTCGGTGGCTAGTAGATGTACCTAGGTGTAAATTGTTATTCAATAAAGAATTATTATTATTATAGATTATATTTATACTTTAGTCTTGTGAGAATTGTATATGGTTTTTAAAGGTATTTTACGTTAAAAAAAATATTTTTCGACTAAATTAACCTTCCTACTTAGGTTTATAAAAATTAACCACAAAATTAACTTAACTACCCCTTTCCTACCAGAGTAAGACTTTGTACCAAAGTCGTTTGCTTAAATACCTCTGTCCAATTCGTGTTCCTACCATGAAGCAGTTATGTTTGCATGGCTGTGTTTCAATTTGAAGGGTGGGATATGGCAGTGAATTTACAGGCTATAGAGAAATAACACTTGAGTCCTCAGGAAAGACAACGCATGGGGGGTATCATGGGCGAAAGAGTATACTCTATTATGTCCATGGTATTGCTCATGTATATAGACGACGATTACCACTTTGCATCAGATGGGCCGTCAGCTTATTGAGTTACGTAAAAAAAAACTTCAACATACATAACAGGTGATATTATTATTATATACAGATTAATTGTGGGTCGCAGTTAATTTGTAGTAATGGAGATGTTAGGACCCATTACTAGCAGTATACCCTCTCAGGTCGACCTATACGCGGTTATCCTGGAAACCATCATCGCGACGGGTCAATGACCTGACTTCATCCTCATCGTTTCAGCCTTCACTGGGACTCCGCTTATGTATACCATTAACATACGACGGGTGCATAATTCCACCCTTTTTTTTTATACAACTTAGAATGGCAAACAAGCTGATGGCCCACCTGATGGAAAGTGGTAACCGTCCTTTTATGCATAAAAAAAGCTTTTTATAGTATCAGATTCCTAATTATTCTTATTCTAGTATGAAAGAGAGAACAATATTGTGTTATCCTTTTACCCGGTAGGTAATATTTATTTATAATGTTATTGAATGACGGCTTGCCAAAGCCTATTAAATTAAAAAAATAAATATCTATGGGTTTACCTGTTGACATGCCATAGACTCGGACAATACTTCAGAATTCTTTAACGTATTCGTGGCTGGACCAGTCAAGATGAGAACCAGAGCGTAGCACGTCAGGGTGTATCTTCCTACTCGAGAGAATAATTGTGGGATCAAAAGGAACACCAAACATCTGAAAGGAATCATCGTAATAACACTACGAGCGTGAGGTTTATGCGTTTAAGCATTCGTTAATATTCCAATACTGAATATGGGTTTCTATAAGTTCCATATATCTTGTCGTGAGAATTGGAACTATAATTTTATTTTATAATATAATAATAATAATAATTCTTTAATAAAGGCAACCAGGGCCCACAAAACAACAATTTTAACAATATTATTTTGCACTTTTTATAAATAAATAACATTAACTTAACCTATTTTTCTTTTTGTATGTTAGCCAGTATATAAATCATTCTGCAATGATTCAAATACTGGCAGTCTGGACGGTCCGCAAATACCCTTAGGATAGCGTTAGAGCTGTCGCGGATTCTACGCATCAGAGATGTGCACCGCTTTCGCATAGTAGCGTAGAAACAATCAACACGCGCCTCGGCGAACATTCCCGACGCATTACAAAACCGGGACAGCCCCAACAGTACCCTAAACGCATTATTATACTGGACTCGTAGGGCGCTGTACTGTTTCTGAGTATAAAAAGCCCACAGATTACTCGTGTAAAAGTACGTACAAAATGCTCTAAAAAGAGTGATTTTGACGTCCCTCGAACAACGTGAAAACCTACGAGCAATCATGTTGGCCCTCACAGACAACGCCCTACGCTCCCTCTCTATGTCCATATCGTCTCTCAGGTCAGAGGTCAACATATGACCAAGGTATTTATAGTGTACTACCTTATGTAACGGGGTATTGTTTAATTTGATGGATGGTATATGATCTAGATTTTATGACATTGAATAAAGTCTTGGAATAAAGTGGAACAGTTACTTTTGAATTGAAAATTAAATGTAATAATAATGTATGGTACGCATTAGATTTAAAGTAAACATGTAGATACAATGCCATGAATATGACATAAAATGTATGCCATAGAAGTAGGTACTTAGATTACAAAAAAATATATAATTGCCTCTTGATCTATTTGTTATGTAGTTGTAATTTAATCTATCAATCTATATCGTTTATATTATCATACTTGCCTGATTCTGTAGCTAAAAGTCAAACCCAGAGTAAGCAGGGTTCCTATAATAGAGCTCACAATGGTCGCGTGAAAAAGAGAAATAGAAAGCTGGAAGACGAGGAATAAGAAGCAAAGGTATGTAAGCAAAATGCCACCCAAAAATCCAAATGTACTCTTGACGACACAGCTGGGAATCGTCAACTCTGTTTTCAAGTATAGCAAGAAGTTGGATAGAGAGGAACCTTCAGGATATAGTCTTCTGAATATCTTAGAAATACGTTTTTGCGTATCTGAACGATAGTAACGCCACCTTTGCGATAAAGACTTTTGAGGTATCGGCGTGTTTGCGGCCATAATAGATGTATATTTCTCATTTTCATAATTGAGCCTGTATTTTTCTATAGTCCTCGCTTTCCAAAGTAATGCGAAGTACGCCATTTCTATTTATATTATTTTGTTATTTTTATTAAGAATATTTATTTATTTTGTCATCTCTTCATTAAAAAACTCAATGCAACGTTCGATGAATAAATCGTTGCTACTTTTCAAGGGCAATGTCAATAAGCTGTGTGACTTGACGTGATTTCATTTTTACAATATTTTTCATAGATACTTTAATACAATTTAGGCCAGATATTTTTTTGTTACTAAAATTAAATATTTTTTCTATGGTGAAAGGTAGTCTATTATAGACGTAATATAACGTCGAATACTATCCTTTATCTATGTATAACGTGCTTGTAGTCTTTAGATGCCTGCAATTGTTTTACGTGCCCGTTGCTAACTCTGGATTTCAATACGTCCTTATTGAATCCCAAATTGTAGTTTTTAGGGCAAACCTTGGCAGATGTTAAAAAAGCGAGTAAAAAAAGAAAAATGTTGTAAAAAATATGCAATGATGAAAGTGTGCAAAAATCTAATGATGGTTTATACTTGCATTACCTATAGCATGGTTTTGACTTTGAATGAGATAAAAATGATTTTAGAACCGATGACTTTTGTTTTTGTGTAATTTTATTCCACTTCCTTAGACAAATTTGTTCGTTCTTAGAACATATAGATTTATCAGTGTATCAACGTAGGTCCAGCATCCGACAATAACGCTCCATTACCCGATGTTTGAGAGATATGCCGTCAGGTATCATGCCGTTACTAACAATAATTAAAATTTCGTAGACAAATATTCCATATGTGTACATACACTATAAAACTCCTGCAAATATACTAATAGCAAATATTTTTAAATATATACTACTTTCAACGTTAGGCGTTAACAACAAAAGCAATAAATCTTATTACAGTACATTGCCCTTTATTGTGTATCTAAATAATACAGTACAATACTCAATTCGATTCACACAATGAACTGTTAGCTACCGACCTTTAAATTGCTATTCAAATTGTTGTCAAAATTGAACACACTTGAACGCATCCTTAAAATATTAAACAGGAAGTTAACTATTTGGCCGATTCAGTAAAGGTAGTAATTACAGACCACTTGTCGAGACCTCAGACACCTAAAGTTAAATTCAATCGTATCCAAAGTTCGTTGACATTAACGAAAATTGTCAATAATAAAATTAAAATGAACTTGCCCTGTTTAGCCGACTTGCGGCGCTGCGCAAGGGGACCATTCACTAAACATGCGCACAACGCTGCATTGCTACAAAATCAACTTCACTCCGTAGCTGTGAATACCGTGGAAAGATATTTTTTTAATTTTAATATTCGGCACGGCGTAATGCAGTTGTTATCGTGCATTGAAAGTGATCTTTATTAATGGTGCAGGATAGCGTAAAAATGTTTAGGTGATCATAATGTAATATACGAATACACATCAAGATTATAATTGATTATATTGAGAAGAAAGAGCCGTAAGTTGATTTTAACTATTTCACAAAAATTTAATATTTCGGTTCTTAGAAGCTGCTGATCCGTTTGTTTATTATCTTTTATTAGTTCGTTGACTATTGTATGTTTTCTATTATTAGTTCTTTTGTTGATTTATTGTCAATTGTCGGTGATGTTATACAATGAGATTGCTTTGCAATGTGCATGCATCGTTTATAATAAAAGATATATAAGTACTCACATGGATTGTAAAATTACTAAGAAAATTAAACTACAGATACTATAGTACTAGTTATTTATGTTATACTAGCGATCCGTCCCGGCTTCGTACGGTTTTGGAAATAAAACACATCCCATATTACTTGCTAATAATGTAGTTTTCTACAGGTGAAAAAATTTTTTTAATTCGGTTATTTATTTTTTTTAGTTTATTCATTACAATGAAAAAATCAAATCTTTCCTTTTTGTAATCAGTTTAAATTTTATAACAATTTCTGAGAAGCAAACGGTTGAAAAATTAAAATTCATTGAATGAAACTGCAATTGGGTAGGTATTTAGTAAAATGTCAAAATTTTGACAGCATTTTGACAGTTAAAATAGTATTGTTGATAAACAAATCCGTCTCTGTTTATATTAAAAAAAAAAATTATTTTACATTTAAAATTTTTTATTCATAAAATTTTTAGTAACAAATTATTTAATATTAAAAAAAAGTTTTATTATTGAAAAATCCCAAATAATTATTAACAAGAATGCTCATTAAGATGTCGCTTTTTGGTAAATTGATTTATTTCTAACTACATCCCTATATGGTTGTTTCTAAGAATAATTACCCTCTAAATCTTACTACTCCTTCGTTCCAATAATACTCTCCAATTATCTTTCCCCTCTCACCGTACTGGTAACGCTTCAAACTCTTTTCTCCTACATTCTTCACGACTCTGGAACGCGCTTCCTGATGCCATTAAGAGACTACCGACTAAATCGTCTTTCAAAAAAAGCGTTCACGCTCACTTTTTATTTTTATCCGAGCAGTAAGTACTTTATATTATTCTCAATTTCGTTTATAATATAGTATATGTCATATATGTATAAGTATATTTGTTATTTATATATATTTATTCGTTTATATATGTAATTTTAGTATGTATGTATATCAATAATTAGTATACCGCATAGTATTCTGACACTTCCCTATGGTTGACTGGGAGAGAATGCTTTTAGCATTAAGTCCGCCATGTACACATATTTGTACTAATGAATAAATAAATAAATAAGGGGTGTCCAAATTATCTAACATTCTTCGTATTTTTAACGAACACCTCCGGGTTTATTGGATTGCTTTGCCATTTAAACATAAGCCCATAAGAAAGAATTGACTGGGTAGATAACTTGTATGTATGTATATACTATTCTTTGTAAATTAGGTAAAGCTGGCAAAATGTACTATTTAGGTACTGCATAAGTTGAGAGGGATGTTTCAAATTTATTGGTATTTAAATTTAATTTACAAGTGTCATTCTACCTAGATATTATTTTTTTTACAGTACATTAAAAAATTTTACCCTCATGAGTAAACTAACTATTAAAGACTTGTGGTGTTAAACTTTTATAATAATTATAATACTATAGACCATGGACAACGAGCAGCCCCACCAGGAACTGGTGAAATGTGTGGTGGTGGGCGACACTGCAGTCGGGAAAACTCGGCTTATATGTGCACGCGCTTGCAACAAGCATGTGTCCCTGTCCCAACTGATGACAACACATGTGCCGACTGTTTGGGCTATTGACCAGTACAGAATTTATAAAGATGTGAGTACTAACAGGCTATAAACAAAATTCCTACACTGTTACATTAATGGACCAAGATACAGATCATTTCAAGTTTAATTATTTAATTAGATAAACATAGAAAATGCCACATCATGGAAGCACTAGGATAGCTATCCATGTGTTTTAACTTTTAAAATTGGAACTATCAGTAATTCAGTTCACTTTTATTCATGTTACTACCATGAAGCAGTTCTGTTTACATGGCTGTGTTTTGGTTTGAAGGATGGGATATGGCAGTGAATTTACAGGGTACAGAGGAATAACACCTGAGTCCTTGAAATGGCAATGCTTAGGGGTATCATGGGCGAAACAGTATACTCTGTTATTTCCATGGTACTGCTCATGTCCATAGGCGACCATAGGTTACCACTTTCCATTATGTAGCCGTTAACTTGTTTGCTATTCTTAGTTGTGTAAAAAATATTATTTATATTGTTTGTCACTTGTGTTCCAATTATTATAAAGGATAATTGGAACACAAGTGAGAAGGAAGGACTTTATGGATATAAAATTCAAGCATCAGTCCTTATATTTTTTTTTTTTTTTTTTTTTTTTTTTTTTTTTTTTTTTTTTTTTTTATAGAAGGGCAAACAAGCTAACCTGATGGAAAGTGGTAACCGTCGCCTATAGATATGAGCAGTACCATGGACATAACAAAGTATACTTTAGTTTCGACTTTTCCTGAGGACTCAGGATATAAAATTCAAGCATGAATGAGACAGTCCGACTTTTGTACAAAGTCTCCCTCTGGTATTGATGTAGATCTCATACCTTGTCAAATACTGATAGATATGTAATGTTGTCAAAAATAGATCAAGATAATAATTACACTAGTGTGCTTGTTTTGTAAATGTGTGCATGTGATGAAACTGAATTTATATGGAATGGAAATTACAAAAATAGCAAAAATTCACATATTTGTTACATTTTTTTTGTTTTAGTCTTTTGATATTCAGACCTTATTTGGAATAAATTAGATCTTTTTTTTTTCTACCAATTCTTATACGAAATATTTTTAATGGATTTATAATATTGCATTTAAGGAGATATTTTTATATATTAAATTTGAGTGTGTTGGTCTAAGGTATTATATGCAAACTCAAATAGTACCTACCTCCTATATAGTACCTATTCATAGCTTTTTAAATAAATATACACTTTACAGATAAATATATACAGAATTTTTCCTAATTTATGTTATATCCATGTACAGCACACTAAACTTTAACCAACTACATTCACTTCTAAACTAATTATACTTTAAAATGTAAAATTAATCAGAATACATTTTGTTCATACTCCCACTAAATCAGTTTTGAGCTTATATTATGTGACTGTTCTATTTTACTATCTCATTCTAACATATATGTTGTTAAATTTTTTTCTCATTTACATTGCCAGTTTATATAATTTATAATCTAAGATTCTTCTATTAGAATTAGCAGTCCTTTCTGGAAACCATATAATTCCTAGTGAATTTGTCAATATATTTTTAGTACTTTGCCAGTGTATACTTATAACACAGACAGGGTAACTATTACTATTATTATTTATTAATTTAAAACTTAAAAGTATTTATTGAAATACTAGCTTTTTCCCTCAACTTCGTCCATGTGACTGTGGTATACTATACTTTTTATTCCAGTCATTTACAATCTGTATCCTTCTCCATGTCATCATATTGTGTGTGTATACAAAATTTCATGGTTAAACTGTTAAGGAGCTATTAAGTAATGGACAAATAACCAAATTCATTTTCACATTTATAATATTAGTAAGGATTTATAAATAATGACTTTGAAATTAAAAATGACTATTGTATATGTACATTGGACAGGTCCTAGAAAGATCTTGGGAGGTTGTTGATGGTGTCAATGTATCATTACGTTTGTGGGATACATTTGGTGATCATGAGAAGGACAGAAGATTTGCTTATGGCAGGTAATGTAACAATAACTTTTTCTTAAATCCTATATTTTGATATGTATAATCTTTATTTGATGTAATCTTAAACTTCTTCTTTTATAAAGAATTCCAGCTGAGTTTTTGCCTTTTTATTTCGTTTTCTTCATAAAATGCTTAAAATTATGTTGAATTTAATTTAAATTATTTGTATTCCGTTTTATTAAAAAAAAAATCCTCTTTCAGATCGGATGTGGTCCTCCTGTGTTTTTCCATAACGAATCCCATATCATTGAGGAATTGTGGAGCTATGTGGTATCCAGAGATCAGGTGAATGTTATTATTGTTATTTCATAGATATTACTCACTCATATTTCATAAATATAATAATGTGAAAGTAAAAAATCTTCGCTATGTTGGTAAAAAAATTAAAGTGTTCCCTTACTAATATTTTCAGACGATTCTGCCCCAATACTCCAATACTGCTGGTGGGTTGCAAGAATGATCTTCGGTATATGTACAGGGATGAGACCTATCTCAACTATTGTAAAGACCGGAGCCCTTTTATTCGGTATGTTGTTTAATAAAATATAATTTTCCTATCCTTACCATTTCCACCAAATAATGGATTTGGTGTCGACGTAATATATTTCATCTTCCATTCATCTGTATTTGCAGTCATTCCACCAGTAACATTATATTAGGCCATATCATCTTTTATACAATCCATTCGTTTTTTTTCTTAAGTCTTTCTCTACTTTTATAGAAATATCATTCATATTTCTTACACTTCTTAAAACATTCTCTTCATTCCTAAGTTTAAATTTTATTTCACAAATGGAGTTTATTCTGTTTGTGATTTATATTAAATACTGCATTTTTTTAAATCTGCCTTTGTATTAGAGATTTTATTGTGTACCACCTTCAGATAGATCTGTTAAAATTCCTAGGAGTATGTCGATAATGGGCTCATGTAGGTGAAGCCGCGGAAAAGACCTATTCACCTAATAAAATAAATTCTTAATTTTAGGGCACCAAGAAAAAGCGATCTAGTGATGCCAGATCAAGGTCGAGCCCTAGCTCATGAGTTTGGTATATATTACTATGAGACATCGGTATTCACATATTATGGAGTGAATGAGGTATTCGAGAACGCAATACGAGCGGCTTTAATTGCACGAAGACAGCAAAGGTTTTGGATGACCAACTTGAAGAGAGTTCAGAGGCCCCTGTTGCAGGTATTTTCACAGAAATATGTGATAGTAATTTACGTAGAATAAGCTACAGGATTCGATTGTAATGTAGAGATTTTTCATAGGCATTCAACAGTGTTGGTTACTAGTTTCTTACATAGTAAATTTATATATTAAAAAGTAGTCCATATAATTTTATAGTAGTAAATTAAATAAATTCATACATAATGTATTATATAGCGTAGCATTTAATATGGTAGTGCAGCGTTTAATACAGGTGTACCTCAGGGCTCAATTATGGTCCCTTTGTTTTCTTTTATGTGTAACATATATATATATATATATAGTGCAGTGAAATTTGATGATAAAACAACGTTGCTGTGTATTGCTATAGGCGCCGTTCAGGCCACCGAGACCAATGGAACCTGAAGTGTCTGTCGCAAATAGTGTTTACTTGGAAAATATGACCACCTTACTGAGGCAACAGGTAACTGTTATAATTATTGTACAAAACCTAAGTCTTTTTTTCTAGCGTCCCTCTTAAAACATCTACAAAGCCTAGTCAATCCGCTTGTCAAACGTGGCGACTACTGGCAAAACTCCCCAAGGGGGATACTTATGTTCAGCAAAGGACAGTTCAAGGCTAATATGATGATGATGATGAAGTATGTAGCATATTTCAAATATATATAATATCTTTAGTTGGGTTTTAGTGTTTGCATGATTCTAAACCTCGAGCTCTTTAGATTATATATATATAAAACCTCTTTTTGAAATTTAATTTAAAATAATGATTGTCTCCATAGTATTTCTCGGATATGGTGATCATATGTGGAGCAAAGGGTTTCCCCGTACACCGGTTCATGATGGCGGCTGCTTGTGAAGCATTCCACAGACTCCTTACCACGGACTGCGTCAGTCTATCTGCTGAACTGGCTCGGAGCTCCAGTGAGAGCAGCATGGTAAAATCAAGTTATCTATTAATTCTCCACTAATTCTCTTATTTTTTTTATTCAATTCATAATTTCAGATATAATTAATATTTAAAACTATAAAATATGTAAAACTTTAAGTCTAAAAATAAAGCAATTTAGTAAGTAACATTTGTACAAGGAATAAAAGATTGGGACCTCTTAGCTTAGATATTTTTCTTATTTAAAAAGAGGTGTCAGCAATAGGTTTATTCACTGTAATGCAATTAAAAATAAGGTAAAATATACTCCTAGCAGTGAAATTAGTAGGTACGACACAGTTATTTTTAACTAATGTGGCTGTTATCGTACACTACCCTACAATTGTAATTTTTTTTTTATGGTTCCAATAAATACATTTTTACTTTATTTTTACTTTACTATGTGTGGAGTCGAGTTCTAATGTCACATTTATGTGACCTGTCAATCACACCATGCTATAATACACAGAGTATATTGATCTAAGAAATTTAACATTTAAGTTCACAGTAGTTAAATGTTTTTTTGGGTAGTCCACTTTGAATACTAATTATATTATATATTTTTTTTTTTTGATGGGTGAAAATGGTATGGTAACCCCGCCTGCGCTAACGGGATACGCTATCGGAGCACCAGTGAAGGGTGATCGATGAGAATGAAAACAGGGCAGTTAGCCCATCATGATGGATTCATCAAGAATTAACCATGATAGTTTCTAGGGAGAACCGCGAGGAGATCGACCTGGTTGGGTATATTGCTAGCAATGAGATTCTCAGTCTCCATTACTAACAATCCTTTTCCCCTCATTATATGTTTATTTGCCATAGGTAAGCAGCATGGGGGAGGCAACTACTGGTGAATTTAATGAAGACACAGAGTACTTGATACGACAGGATCAGGCTAAACAGATGAGGTAAATATTCATTTACCTTCAGTTCAGGTTTCTTGCGTAATGCTATAGAAAACAGAGTGACGAAGATAACATCTCTTGCTTCATTAATTTTATAATTTGTCCCATAAATGCGTACTGGCTCCAGTCAATCAGACATAATAGTTTTAAATAAACCAAGCTCTACAAAACACTCGTTCACGAGTATGACGAATGCAAACCATTGTTGCGTTCGACTATATTTTTGTGCCTTTTTATATGTAAATAAGGTCGTTGTCAAACTTTTATCTAAAATATAAAATAAGCAATATTTATATCCTCAAATAGACAGTTACTTTATTATCTTTATTTATTTGGATTTCTGTCCCCATCAATTCCCCATTAACCCATCTTATCCAACTGTTAAAAAGTTAGAGGCATTTTTTTTAATATAAATTATATAATAATTAGGATAGGAAGATGATAACGATAAATTATATATATTTTTACAGGGTATGGGACCAGATAAAAAGGCGCTCTTCTTGCCAAATCCTGCCGTTGAGCGACAGCTGCAAGAAACCGCCAGACTTGTACCGGGAGGTCAATCACCCCGCCATAAACTCGATACGAGTCGTGAAAGTTAGTATATTTTTTATAAGTATGCATGTTTATAAACATGAAAAAATAAAATGGATTTCACACTAGTTGATCTAACTTCTATGTCAGGTTTAAATTTTTTAAAACAAAGTCGTCATTGTTGCAGTGTGACAAAATCCAGCACGCCACGTCACAGACCCAGACTATAGTGACCATGAGCAAGTTAATATCGCAGAACGTCATGCAGGAAATCATCAACTTCATATATACAGGGACATTGGACAGCAGTGCCTTTAAACAACAGGTATGTCAATCCAAATAAGTATATTGACAGAATGAGGGTCTGGAATGAGGGCTTCCTACTAAATACAAAACAAAAAAAATTTGCTATCACAAGTTGTAAAAATGATAATTGACGCCATCTTACAAGAACTAAAAAAACAGTACAAAACAGGTGTAGTGAGGTTTATAAAAGAAATCATTTGTGTGCGTATTCCTATATATTATCATACTTAAAAAAAATATATATATTTTGGATATCAGTATGCTGTTTTTTGATATTGCTAGTTTTTATATTATGTATTTATATATATTTGATGACAAAATTAAAAATGAAAGAATATATACGTACAAAAATATACATTTTGAAAAAAGGTAAACGTTGCTGTCAAATATAACCTAATTCGGAGCCGGCACTTGTATTTTAGTTTACATCTTTTTTTTTTTCTGAATTTATAGTAGATCTCGATTGTTATATGTAAACTTATTTATATATATTTTAATATTATTATATACTTTATAAATATAAAAATTACGAGCTAAATATAATGGATTACGCAATACCTATTTATTTAATTAATATATAATACCATTTCTAAATTGGTAATTAGAGCTGGAAAAATAAATCCGGATAATCGAATGTTCGGATAATCGAGATTTTATATAATCAATAAATTTATACATAATTCAATAATTTATACTCATGACGGAAATCGTTTATTATATTTTATAAAACAAATCTGCTACCTATATTCTTTATTTTATACTCTATGGACAGTTTCTAGTATTTATAATAATTATTAATGGTACTTTATAGTGATTTTAATAATTTAATAATTCAATTATAATGCTGTTTCGCAGTCCGCTGCTATTGGATTACTGCTGGTAATTTTTATTATTATAAAATAATTTATTCAATCATTATTGTGTTTGTTATTTTTTTATTTACAATACATGTACCATTGTAATTTATTTTTATTATTCTCATACTTTTTATATGATAAATATTATAATATTTTATTAACATATTATCATCACTTTAATAAGTAAATAAATAAATAAGATCATTATCTATTATAATAACACTTATGAAAATCGGCCATTAATTTTACGCATAATTTTCACAACTTTTGAATTTAGAACTGTAATATTCATTATGTGTCTTTATTCCTCCATCTACGTACCTTTTTTCCTGTTAATAGTTTACTCATTTACCTCTTCGATAACACTTTATCCATGTGCCCCCATACCTTTTCATATTTAATATCTATTCGGTTTTAAGTTTTCTGAGTTTAATGGATATTTAAATTCAAAATATCATTTTGTTGGGCACAGGAAATTCGTCAAGCAGCCGAGCTACTTGGTTTCCACGAGTTGACCAAGCTGAGCCAATTCATCCTCGATCAGCATTTATTATTCGATAAGGGATTCATGCTGCAGTTTCATACGGTCAGTGGATGTTATTTGTCTATTCTTAAAGAATAAAACAAATAAATTTAAAAAAGTTTATTAATTGACTAGGAATTTGGATGAATGTCAATGTCTCTTACCAATTTGGATGAATCTTAACTACTTACATAATGAAAAAAAAAAATAGAAAGAAATATAAAGATTAATATTCACAACAAATAATTAACAAAATTAAATTCAATTAACTTCGTCCATATCCTGTCTAATAATAACTATATATAATATTTGAATTCAGAACACTTGAATGTTATTTTTATGTCTGCGTCTGGGCATCTAACTAATATAATTAAATTTTAACTAGTAAGTATTGTAAGTTAGTAATAAATAAATAGTTAGTAATGTTAATAAGGGAGGGTGAGTGATGGGCAGCAGCATCCCTCATAAAACATCTCTAAACTGCGGTTGCCAATCCGCCTGCCAAGCGTGGCAACCATTGCCAAAACTCCCATTATGGGAAAGGCTTATATTCAGTAATATTTGTTCAATATATTTCAGCCATTACCCCAAAGACTTCGCGATATGTACGTAGAGCGCAATTTATTCGCTGACGTCACATTTGATCTCGATGATGGAATACATCTTGCGCACAGAGCCATACTGATGGCCCGGTGTGACCCGATGAAGGCCATGTTTCAAGGTCACTTCAGGGAGAGCACTTCGAGAGTGGTGAGTGAGGCAGTTATGACCTATATTGTGTGATGTGAAATTAACAAAAAAAAAACATAAGTAAGTAATTAAAACTCGCCATATCAGTCTCAGCATAGAATGGACCACCCCTTCCTTTCTCGTGGGTGTCGTAAGAGGCAACTAAGGGAACTTAGGATCGAGGGGTGAACAGTAGCGTCTCTCTTTTAAAACAACAGATATGTTGGTAGTATATTTATAGTAGGGATATGGCAGTGAATTTACTGGGTATAGAGGAATAACACCTGAGTCCTAAGGAATGGCAACGCATGGGAGGTATCATTGGCGAAACAGTATACTCTGTTATGTCCATGGCACTGCTCATGTCTATAGGCGACGGTTACCACTTTCATCAGGTGGGCCGTTAGCTTGTTTGCCATTCTAAGTTGAATAAAAAAATCATAAAAGTTGCCAACTCGCCTGCCAAGCGTCGTAACTACTGGCAAGATCCCTCCTTATGGGGGAGGCCTACATTTGCCAGTGGACAGTTGATATATTATATAATGATACTTTTTATATCTTTCAGATTTCATTTCCGGGTGTGAAAATGTATGCGTTCCATATACTTCTCTGCTATATCTATTCGGATAAAATACCGATGGTGGAGCCCATTCGATGTCTCGAGTTACTCGAGTTGGCCAATCGATTGTGCATGAATCGATTAGTGAATTTGGTGGAGGCCAGAGTTATAGATCAGTTGCAACATCAAGATAGGTCAGTGCAATAGTATTGATGATTTTATAGATAGATAGATAGATACTCTTTATTGTTTTCTCTATAAGATTACAATGATTAACTTATTATAAATACAAACAATTACAAGAAAATATTACACTAAGAAAACAATGGGCGGCCTTATCGCTAAGAGCGATCCCTTCCAGGCAACCTAAATATATAGATAGATATTATAAAATAAATAGATACTTAAATAAATAGTCTTTTTTTAAGAGAGGAGTGCTAGAGGTTTATGTTGGCGGTGTATCGGTTAGATAAATGTAGTGTAGTATAAATAAATGGATTTATATATATTTTTTAAAGAGTATGCGGCGAGGATGACCAAGTTGTTGAGATTGCGTTGTCTCTGTTGGAACCTGTCAAGGTGAGATTCGAAATAGATTTTTTACACTTAAAAGTTTTTATAGAAATTTAATTTTTAAAACTACATTTATTTATGGTTAAATATTACTTTGTAATTAATTAATTATTATGCTACTGCAAAATTACTTTGTATACTACTTCAAATGGGCACTTGGTGGAAAGTGGTAATTCTTTGCAGAAAAATGATACTGTGGAGAGGTGGGATGGGGGGGGGGGGAGACCTAAGTCCTTAAAAAATGCATTACGTGATATTTGAGCTCTTTGTCTAAAAATAAGAATGACGTGTATTAGAATTTTTAAAAATAGTTAAACAAATAGTAATGTTTTTACCTAATGGTTAGCTGGTAAAGAATGCCATATAGCGAAATAATCCGGCTTGAAGGACCAAAATCTTCTGGATAGTCCGAGAAGAAAGTGAATTTGTCTCCGCAGGTTATTATTAGGTGGATAATACTACTTCGGGACATTTTATAAAATAAAACCACGTATTAATCCTGTTCCTTACTTACGTTTTGCTAGTTTTTTTTTTTACAATAATAATGTGAAGGAATTAAATCTATGTTTCGGATCGAAACAGAATTAAGAATAAATAAATGAAATAAATAAAATAAGAGTGACATAATAAGCAGCTGTTTGATGGTGTGGTATGCAGCTGCATAACGCGATGCACCTAGGCGAGTGGTGCACGTGGCGGCTGTGCGGCGCATACGACCGCGTGTGCCGCGCCCGCCACCTTAGCGCAGCCTCGCGCGACTACCTCGCCGACAACCGCTGGCCACCCGTCTGGTAAGTACTCCGTCTACCGTCGCACTAGGACGGGGGGGGGTGATTGTTAGTAATGTGCACTACCAGTCCTGTTTTTTTTAATGGATGATAATGGAATGGTAACCCCACCCGCGTATCGGTATACACCGGCGAGGTACTAGTGAAGGATGATGGTTGAGGATGAAGTAGGTCAGTTAGCCCATCGTGACGAATTCAACAAGAATTTTTCACGATGGTTTCCAGGGGGAACCATGTGGAGTTCGATCTAATACGGCATATTGCTAGCAATGGGACTGTCAAACTCAATTGCTAACAATCCCATCCCCTCAATATACCCTCTTGGTCCATCTCCACGTACTCCCCTCTAGAAACTATCGTGCTGAATTCCAGGTGTATTCATCACGATAGGCTAACAGACCTGTCTTTTTGGGGGAAAGGGATTGTTAGTAATGGAGATTAAATATCCCATTGCTAGCAATATACCTAGCCAGGTCGACCTCCTCGCGGTTCTCCCTGAAAACTGTCATGGTTAATTCCTCATGAATTCATCACGATAGGCTAGGGATGACTGTTTATTTTTAATTCAAACATTAACAGGTACGTGAAGGAGTATGATTATTATCAGAAGTGCGTAACCGAACAGACGAAGGAACAGAAGGAGATACGGCCCACCACGTCGCTGCAGGCCAGCCAGCAAACCGGATGCTTGTGTTTTACAAGTAAATATATATAATTTAGTTATATATAATTTTATTATGATACTACAAAACAATATATTTTAATATAATTATAAATACCGGTTTAACTTACGTGTAATTAGATCGAAAAAACTCGAAACCCGAAGAGTTCCGAATGCCGTCTTTCTTATTTGTGTGCTGTAAGCGTCTACAGCGATAAACGGGCCGAGGTGCGCAGTTAGGTTCGTGTTCGAGTCACAGCCGCTCATGACTAAGGGTCACGAATTCATCTCGAAACTAGTCGAGAATTTTCGATCTAATTACACGTAAGTAAAACCGGTAGTTATTATCACTACTCACTACATAGTATAAAACAAAGTTGTTTCTCATCTGTCTGTCCCTATGTATGCTTAGATCTTGAACTACGTAACAGATTTTGATACGGTTTTTTTTTTAATAGATAGAGTGATTTAAGAGGAAGGTTTATATGTATAATATACGAATGATATTGTAGAGAAACGCTGATAATTTTAGATGTTTCTAATATGATGCAATGTAATCTGCATCCGTGCGAAGCCGGGGCGGGTCGCTAATATTAAAATATTATGTGAATTTACGAAAATTTTAACAATAAAAAAAACTACAAAAACAGATATAGATAGATGCGGCAAGTACTTCAAATTATATGAAAGCTAGGCGTCTATCTAACCTAACTGTTTGTCTTGATACAAGTGTTACAAAAGCAACTTTATTATCCGCTGTAATAATACCCTTTTAAACCTAGTAACGAATTATTGTCAGTATTATTATTTATTAATTAATTTATTTGTTATAAATTACAATAACAGTTTGCAAACAAAAATGAACCATTAAAAAGAAAACAATACAAAAATTTATCAATACGCAGTTTACCAACCTTACATTGTAATCATCATTTAACAGTAAGTTAGAAGTACACGTTATACCGCTTTTTATAGATGTACATTACATTACTGATTACAACTATGATCCAAACTTATTCCATCTCAAAACCATACAACGACCACTTAAACCCAATAGTACTCTGATGAAAGATATCGAATTTTTCGCTAATTTTGTTATTCGATTGACACATCCGATGAATCGGATTATTTTGTAAGACATTATTATTGGTAGATGAAATACTAAATAGCCGAGGGTGTCTAAAAGAATGCTTACATGCAATCAAGTTCAGAGAAGCTGATAATGATTCATTCAACAATCCAATATCTTTATCGATTTTATAAATATTCTTCATTTAAATTTAATGTGTAATTCTGAATCGAAATTTAGCAGAATCTTTTGAGGTTATTATGTGACTAGAAGTTACCACATTATGTATATGTAATTAAGATATTTATATAATTCCATATTTGTATCTATAACTCTCAACTTTATATTTGTAAATTAAGTAGAAAATCTTTTTTATCTTGTTATAATCTGTGCAATGCCTTGATAATAATTGAAGATTGTGTTTCAAAAAAGAAAAATCTATTTTCATTGTGGCAAAACTAGTTATTCAGATTTAAAAACTACACTACTGAATCAACTTGGATAAAATTTCTATGGGCCAAATCTAAAATTATATTTTTCAGATATTTCCAAATCCGTTTGGACGGAGTTATGGAGTAATAAACATAAAAAATACAACCAAATTGAGAACCTCCTTCTTTTTTGTAATCGGTTGAAAAAACTTTACTCGATGTCTTCACGCACTACCTCTGCGGGAGAGCCGGGAAACCTGTCCGGGACGTTTTATCCCTCTCAGGTGGTGTCTTACCGCCACGCATGAAAATGCGCGGGTCATTTGAGTAAACTTATAGTTCGACGGTTGCTATATGGTGTGCCGTCCATTCTGAGTGGACTTCGCCTGCTGGGTAAGACCTCTTGTGGGGATGTCTAACAAATGAAAAAAATTGTGATCTTTTCTTAGGCAAAAATCGTCGGGAAAGCAGCGAGAGTGCCGGTGGAGGGGAATCAGCGGGCGGCGGCGCGGTGGGGGCGGGGTCGGCTGACGTCACCACGGCATTATGCCGCACTGCAGACGTGCCGCAGCCGCATCCGCCGCTTTGACACCTACCGTACTGGAGGTAATCATTCTACCACTACTCCTGTGAGGTTTTCGCCCTGATTTTTAAAGTCTCTAGGCCACTTTCGATGTATACGAAGGACTTTGACATGGCTTACCGGATCACGGTTTCATGTTTCCTCAGAAGCATCATCTTTTTACTAATAACGCTAGATATGATATCAATTTTAAAATTTAAGCAAATAATAGCACAAAGTGACCAGGATGTGATATGGAGAAACATGTCTCAATAGTAATGCTGAACAAGGATTGTGATAAAAATGATGAGCGTATAGTTTATCTGTCCATTGGTTTAAATGTCGATCGTTTGTTGTTGTGATGAACACTTTTTGAACTGAATGTAAGTTGTTTAACAAGCATCAATCAATGTGAGCGATAATTTGCTAAATCAATCATTCGATGATTTAACTGAAGCGTTTGATATTATGTGGCACCCTGTTTTTCTATGATTATTTGTAATTTTAAACATATCATTTTACATTTTCATTTGTATCTACTATCTCGTATTGGTATAAAAAGTAGTTTATTAGGTTATTTAATGCCCTTTTACGATATAAAATGTGGTGTACCTCAGGGTACATTTTTGGAGCCACTGCCCTGTTACTAGTATTATAAATAGAATTGAGTTATGAAATACGTCTGTATTTTCCGCAGATCCCTCCGTTTCGCGGTGCTCTTACCAGTATCGATGTGCTTCATGAGCACTATACTGACCATTCTCATACTTTTCCACATCTACACTTAAATTATAGACACTACTAATAAAATAATTATTATAGTTATCATTGCACTCGACTTACGTAACACTTGACTGCTATATATATATATATATATATATATATATATATATATATATATATATATATATATATATATATATATATATATATATATATATATATATATATATATATATATATATATATATATATATATATATATATATATATATAGTAAGGTTGATACTGTATTCTCATAGGAGTTCTTTGTGGATAGAAAACTCTTAAAAGTATATACACATTTTATGATAATATAGTATCAATTCGGATGTTTGAGAATGCGAAATGAATATTTGGGTTATTGCGTTGTTTATTGTTTGTTATTTTCGTCGAAGAACTGCACTTTTTGAATAATTAATGTTTGATAATCTTTTTTTTTTAAATAATTGAATTATGAATTCTATTGTTTCAATGAGTTCTCGACTTAGGTTTGTTGATTTAAATGTTTTTCAATAAATACATATTGTTTTTTAAATACTAGCCATAAAGAATAAGAGTGTTTTCCATTTTAAGACACAAAATTGCTATAATGCACTTAAGCGATTCCATTTTTTCTATATTTCTATTAACTAAATTAGATTACAATCACATTTGTAAGTAAAAATCCTTCGTGTTACTAACCATACTTACGGTGAAAAATTATTATTAAACACTCGAAGATAAGTTGTTTACTTAGATTATATACATAGAGCGTCGAGCCTCAAAAACGAGTCAGCTTTTTGTCAAATTAGCTGACTCGTTGTTTTTATCAATGTTTTATATACTTACGCACACAATGTTTCTTGACGTAACTATATTTAATTAATTAATAAATAAAATGAGCTTGTGCGCGTTAAAAAGGCGCAGAATTTATAAGACAAAATAAATATAGAAGTTATAAAAGAATCACTCATAACTATTTATCACGCAAAATTGTATGAAAACAGTTGACCCGCTTTTCTCGAAGCATTTGTATGGGGACACTTTATCTATATAATCTGAGGTTGTTTATTAAACTCACAAAAGAAAATGGTGACTGCACTTAAATTGGTGCCTTGGCTTTATTCCATTTATATAGGCTCGCCTCAGTATGTCTTCCTCTCCCACTGATCCTTATTATGTGTCACATCTGGTCACATTCCTCTTTTACGCACATTATCTTTTATACAGTCCATCCATCTGGCCTCACTTACCACAAACTTGAAGCATAAATTTGACCTTGAACTTCATCACCACTAAGTAAGCAAGATACTGCAATCTCCGTATGGTTATAAACATTTTGTTTGTTTATAGTCAAATTATTTTATTATAAACTACTTACCACTGCCTCTGTCATATCAGTTACATTATCACCAAAATCATTATACAGGGTGGATTTGAAGTCATTATTATTCTTTTAAAGAAATGTTCTACCATTGAAACTAATTGTTTTTTAATTGTATTTCAACGAAATAATACCACTACCATAATTACTGTGACCTATGATTGTCAGAGGAAATAGTTCTAGTTTTATGTCTACCACATGAAAGATGGCCGGTGGACTGAGACTTTTATCGGAGTGGTTGTGAAGTTATAGACAGAAAACCTTTGGTAGACTTCCAACCCTATACTTGGATGATATAGCGGATAGCAGGGAAGCAGTGAATGAGTTTAGCATAGGACCATTACAAGTGCTTACAAAAAGCCACCTAGCAGTGGGTGGATGTGTGTTGATTAGATCACGGTGGAACACTTTTTTTAAATTATACTATTGATTTTTATTACGCTCTCTGTAATTTTAAAATTTCCTCAAAAGTGCTAGTAATTTTCACTATTAATGAATAGCACGATAAGGTCTTAACAAAATCTCCAATAGATATTAAATATTAAATATAACTTAGGTATCACATTTGAAATTTCAACTCATTGAAGCAGTAGAATCACAGCGTACCTTTATCCACAGTTTAATTTTAACACTTGTTACAATGGCGTAAAGAACATAATTGAAATGTCTGATACTGATGTTTCCAACATGTGCCTCTTATATAAAAGTATTGTAACAAGCCTATGTGGATAAATGCATTTGGATACAGTCGTGAGGAAAACCGTAATGGCGGAAAATAACATACAATTGGCGAGTAAAATGTCTTTACGTTAAATGAATTTTGAAGTCGCTACAATAATTGTGTTAAATCTAGTTGCCAGTGATTAAAAATATTTAAAAAACTAAACTATTCATAAAATTAAAATCTATAAATAAATTTTAACTATTACACTGGTTTGTCACTTTCTTTCAAATTGGGAATTTGTCGCAAAAGAAAGAGACAAAACTGTTCAATAGCTAAACACATGCACATAAGAATAAGCCTTATTTTCATAGCTAAAAGGCTTGCAATCTGATGACAATTGTCTCTGTCTATACGGGCAGTTCATATTTTTATTGGAAACAACAGATGTAAATAATAGCATGCTGTGTGATTGACGCTCATTATATAAAAAGAAATTGAAAATCCGGAACTGACCCTGTTATTTAAAAATTAAGTCATTTACAACAAAGTTAAAGACTACCAATATTCGCATTTATATATAATACATATTTTTTGGCAAAGAGAAGGACTTATGCTACTTTAAATCAATCAGTAACTTCAATTGGGATAGTAAAAAATTAATTAAAAAACCTACAGAGTACAGATGTTTACTCGCCATTGTTCGTTTGGTACATGTCTGTAAAAATACATTTTTGGAACCTTAGCCATGTAATAGAATTGATTATTTGGTTTTAAGTTTTTAAAATGAAAATTTTATCGTTTTGATTAAGACAGGAGATTCTGAGAACATCTACTTTCGAGCTAAATTGAATATTAGTACAAATACAAAAATTTACTTTTAATTGTAGTGCATTTTAATTCGGCTGCTTTACTAGTTTCGACTGGCAACTAATAGAATAATTAAATAAGTGTAAACAACAGAAGGAGATTTTGTACACAAGTCGATTGCTTAGGTACCTCTGTCCCATTCGTGTTTCAACCGTGAAGCAGCTGTGTTTGCATGGCTGTGTTTCGGTTTGAAGGGTGGGATATGGCGTGAATTTACTGGGTACAGAGGAATAACACCTGAGTCCTCAGGAATGGCAACGCATAGGGGGTATCACGGGCGAAACAGTAGGTACACTCTATTATGTCCATGGTACTGCTCATGTCTATAGGCGACGGTTACCACTTTCCATCTGGTGGGCCGTCAGCTTGTTTGCCATTCTAAATTGTATAAAAAAAAGAATATCGGTCGAATAAATATTTTTTACATATTATTATATTACTAAATCAATCCAAACTCACTTTAGGGTTAACATCGTGGCTACGGTTCCATAAGTGTTTAACGACTTCTAACGCGTCTAAGGTAGGTTTAGCTTGGTGCTTGATTGTAGAAGTATTTCTAACTAATAAATGTAAGAAGAAAAAAAAAAACCGTATTTAAGTTCTATTCCCTAACTGATGTATATATTATATTCATTATTTATCTCTCTATTATATTTATATTTATATAAAATATAAGCAATAAAAATACTACGAGTATATTTAAAATATTTACCACTAACAATATATGTATAAAAAGCAAATGTATGTTACTTCTGATTTGTTTGTTTTATTTATTAAAAATACTATTATAAGAAATTGCTATTGAAGCTCAATTCGTATATAATGCTAAAATAGCTATATCATTTCGTTAATTTATAATATTATAATATAATATAAAAACTGTATAATTTAAGGCGATAAATATGTGATCTGTATTTTATTTAAAATTTAGTATTAGCTAATAGGTAAACGTTTGACATATATAATTTTCATGCGAATATTTAGTAATAGTTTTTATGCTTAGATTTATAATTGTATACTAGAATATGTATAATTTTAGTTGGACATGCGTCAGATTTGTCAAGGGTTAAAGTTTTAATTCAAATAAAAAAATGTTTAAAAAGGTGTATGCGATGACGTAGATAGATACTCTTTATTGTTCCTTCTAAAAGATGAGTATGTACGTTTTGTTATTTATAAAAATTTTGTCCCCTTATTCATGAAAATTAAAATCTTTTATAAACCTGTTTTATCTATTACACTGTTTTGTCACTTTCTTTCAAATTAATAATTTATTACAAACGAAAGAGACAGAGTTCAATAGCTAAAATAGGTTTATGAGAGTAATTTATCTATTTTAATTGTTTTTTTTTCCTTTTGCATAACAAAGGAAGGAGGTTTTCTATTCTTTTGACTTTTTTTTCTATGCTACATAAATAAGTATGTAAGGTTTATTCTGCTGGTTAGAACAATTTTAACTGTCTTTATTTTTATATAATAATACATTTATATTTGGTGATTGACCAGTATTGGTCATTCTTATATCTATTATAAAATTGTAATTGTTTCTTACCAATTGGCACCTTAACGACTCAACAGTTAGTCGTAAAATTAAAAAGTCGTAAAACTCGTAAAATTTACGACCATCCCAAGATGGGCAACATTTTATTCCGGTCAATTAACGTATCCCAGTCATACGGACGGTATCGTGGGAATAAGTGTACTAGAATATGTCAAATCTGACGCGATTCCGCACATATTGAACTGCACTGTAGAGCGTGATAGAATAAATGTAATATATATATAGACAAGGGATTAAACGATAATGTAGGTGGAGCGTGTTGCGTGTAATAGGCGATGGTAGCGACATCTATTTTTTGTTTCGTTAACCATTCGACTTTGTCAACGCGTGAAAAATATACATAAGTACATTTTCATATAATAATTTATGTATTTATTTTTAATATAACTAATAATTCTTATATTTACTGTTTGATCGTCAAACATTACGATTCGAATTGCAAATTTGAATAATTTAAAACTGACCACGAGCAATATCCGAACTTGGGGTATGCAAAATAACTTGGCCAATAAGGCAGCAAGCTTACTGTCACTTCATCCAGGGCGCCATTGTGTTGTAACGTATCTATACAAACTTTTTAGTCTGTAGAAATAGGCGGGAAAATAAATTCCTTACAACTTTTTTAATTGTTTTTA